GTTGTTCTTTTGTACAACAACAAGGCTATTGAGCAAAAGGACGTATTTCTTATTTTGCATTGTATTCATATAAGCGTTGGCATTCCCTGCAACAGCCAATCACAGGAAGGTATTTGTTGGAAACTCTGCCTTCATCAAAGTTGATTCCTAATAAACTCTAACAATAAATTCGTTTAATAAACGAGTATTTAGGGTCAAGCTACAGATGAACATTATAGGATAACGGTGTGTTAGCTTGCAGCTTCATTAGACAGAATCCCTGGTCTTAATTTTAAAAATAAAGAACTAGAAAGCGTATTTTATTGCTAACTTTTCGAGAAATAAATCCCAGTCTCATATTTGCGAACATTTATGCATTGATTTTTTGGCTTAAGTTCTTATCATAATCCCTTTTGCAATCTCAACACCATCTGGCTCGCATCTTGTAACTATCTTCGTTACTTAGCCTCAAAACCTTACATTTATCTTACATATCCTCAACAGTAGATCAAAAAAGTAATTGCAAAATTCTAGTTACCTAATACATAGTTTCATGGTATAAAACCTTATTATAAGCTACCAGACTTATAGATCAGTGTTTAAAGTAATAATAATACATTGTTGTTGTGCTCGGGTAAGAGGTCTCAAGCTCCGCCCACAAGATGTATGGGGTGCATAATAAATAAAATGGTGGCATATCATTGGTAGAAACTCTTTGTTGACATTCACACAACAGCCAATCACAGGAAGGGATCAGCTATAGGTGTCATCCACTTAGTAAATCATCTTAGTTCAGCCCACCAGTCCTGCTTATGGAATTCTGCTTTAACTGTAATTTACCCAAAAAAGTGAAGTGTTAATTATTTAAAGTGTTGATAAAGTAATAATTAAATATTGCAGGATATAACAGATGTTATATAAAAATGGGCTGGCTACCTAACTTGTGACGTTATTATAGGGGGTTGCCTTGACACAAATAATGATACTCTGCTCTGCCCTCTTATTCGAGTAAATTATTCAGTTAGATGGAGATTTCTGTCAGGTGCAAAATAGAAATTGTTGTTCTTTTTCACAACAGCCTTGTTGTTATGCACAAGGTCCTATTTCTTAGTATAAATTCTATTTATAAAAAGAGTGTTGGTATTCCTCGCAACAGCCAATCACAGGAAGGTATTTCTGGAAGCTCGGCCTCCTTATGGACTCAGCACATCGCTCTAGCTCATGGCTCGCTGTTTCATCTCTTGTATATACAAACTATGACTTTTTTCGATTACTGTTATACTTAATATTATGAGATATAAAAGTTTTTACACAAAATGGCTAAATTCTGCCATTAAATGGACTTTGTCTGGTATACATACAAACATACACCAATTTATTACCATTCATCCATTATTAATTTCAAATGTAATGTATACTGTCTAGTTTTTTCCTCTCGCCATTACTTGGTGCAATATTTGAAAGTTGTCTATTTATTTATCGATCTATCTATTATCTTGTATTTATATGTACAAGTTTCTGTGTTTGGAAGAAAACTCTGCATTGAATTGGGACCAATTTATTAAATAATATTATTAAGTATTAATTAATATTTACAATTACTATTAATTACAATTATTTATAGCTTAGTTACTTTCATGTAACTCGCAATCGTACATTCTTAACATTAATAGCCCAAATTAGCACATCTTGCTTTTAAATTAGCCCAAAAAGTAGCAAGTAGCGAAATTAAAAATTTGGGAGCGCGGGGCTCTCAAAAGTAGCCCAATTCGCTATTTGTAGCCCAAGCTGGCAACACTGTACTGGACCCGAACAGCTCATACCACTCCGGCTCACCGCCACATAGTCAAACATCAAGGTATATATATCTCTATTACCTGGTCGGATATCTGCGAATCGGGTGTGTTTTTATGACAAATCGGTGGACAGGTTATAATCCTTTAACTGGCCTAAACTGTTAATTTGTATTTTTGAATTAACATTGATTAATTAACGCAACTACCCTAGGCTATATGAAGGGTTTCATAGTTTTTCATGAGTTAGCTATATATTAAAAATTCCCATATTGCAGGATTGTTAATCAAACAGAATCATGTGACCAGTATCCTGCGCTGGCAGGTTTCTTGTTTCTCAAGGCTAGGTTAACAGTCTCTAGGTCAGATTTTAGAGCTTCATTTACATCTTGCCACGCTGATGACATGGAATCACCAAGCCTAAATGTTTGGTTCAAATGCCAGATAGGCTAAGTGAACCTGAGACACGTATCAAATTTGGTGTGGTAACCAAATGTACCGAATGATGAAGTATTTTCAACTTGCGGCTTGTTGACTAATGTTGCCGCAATCAGCTACGTTTGAAGATATAAACATTCTTATATCAACAAATATCTAAGTTCAATTTACCAGCCACTTAGGCTGGTAAGACGGTAGATTCGCTTCATGCAGGTCGGCGTTCAATCCCCGACCGTCCAAGTGGTTGGACACTATTCCTTCCCCCTCGTCCCATCCCAAGTCCTTATCCTTATCCCTTCTAAGTGCTATATAGTCTTAATGTCTTGGCGCTCTCTCTTGATAGTTCCTTCCTTTCAGTTGAATTTAGGATGAAGCAATAAGCATTGAACGTCAAGTTACAGCCCCGCTTCTGTGCCAGGTAAGTCCACTACGGGCTCACCATAGCCAGTGCAACTTGGAACTTATTGTTCCCAGTAGCTGAATCTTAAACAACAACAACAACAAGCGTTGAACATGCGTATGTGTTAATGATTCCTATTATCATACTTCACAAAATTTAGTGGACGTTAGTCATTTGTTTCATTTTGCAACCTCATACTGAATTATTAAATATTCTGTGACATATAGTTCATATCTTAGTCCTCAACAGAAATTTATAATTATTGGTCGCCAACAATTATAAACCCGCCTGCAGTGTATTATTAATTTGGGTTGGTGTTGGGTTGAAGGCCTATCATAGGGTTCTATCAAGAGGGTTAATGAGGCCACCACAATAGCTTACTGACAACCAGCAAGATATACTTTAATCCTGAACATAGTCGTTAACTAAAGGAAACTCGGTTTACACCAAGATGCGATGTAAATTTCTGTATGTATATTCCATTAGTATGATAATTATATCAGTATAAGTATGAGTGGTATCATTGAGGATACCTTGAGGTAGTTCCGAGGATCAATGTCTTTGCTGCTCCGGTCTCTGATCAAGCTTATTAATATTGTGATTAGACTGGTAACCCTATAATTTTGTCATATTAATATAATGTAATATTTAATGATTATACTATAGCAGTGCTAATAAGAAGTTAAATGACAATAGGAAGTCGTTGTAATCTGGAGATAACCATGAAGATAACGATTATGATTATTTGATCCAGCCAACCAAAGATCTGGCTCATATCATAATTTTTTGGAAGATTGCTGACACCTCGAACCCTCACATTCCTCTGTCTATCTTTATCCTACATCTCCCCAACATCCAGTCTATCCCTAGCCTATAACACCCCCCCCCCCACAATCTTTAACAATCAAGTGCATGATACAGGCACATTGACTCACTAATAGAAGCATATGTGGAGGTTCTCTTTACCATTCAACTTCCAAGTTCAATCCATTTCGTTGATATTCCGATGCCAACGTATTTATTTCTAATATTCCTGTGTATTTTGCATGGCGCGATCATGTATTCCAAATTTCTTGTCCACCAGTGAGGTAGGTACAGCTCACTTAACCAGTCCTACCAATTCTTGCCTTGGCATACATTTGGTCTTCAGTTTACAGGCTATTTATGCCCGTGTCACCTCTTGGGTGGCTTAATCTTCATCAATCAATCAATCAATCACTCAATCTTCATTATTAATCTCTTGCTTTCGATATCTTAATATGTTAGCCTAAGTTTGCTTAAACTATTCAAAATATATAAAATATAATTTATTGTTACTTCTCTAATTGCAGTGAGATTTTATGCTTGTTGTCGTTTTTTAAAAAAGCCGGCTTAGGCTTTCAATTTCCTTGCAAAGAAACTATACATTTTAGAAGAGACGTAACTTTGGAATTTTTGGATTGGACAGTGAACAACTGGAGTTAATAGCTCTTTATTGAACTAGTTCTCTTGACTTGCCACAACGTACAAAATGCAAAGTGCTAACCTAACCAGAAACGCACAAACCCAAGCCACCCACCTAACCTAACCAAAACGTGGATATTTGGGAAGCTTTTCCTTGTAATGTGTGTCAGGTACCATAACTTACGAAACGCGACCTAATAGTTGAGAGGACGGGTGGTTTTATCAGCCTGATATCGGAGGTTACTCATCCTAATGGGAAATAATCAAGACAAATTAATTGAGGAAGTAACTTTAAGTATTGCAATTGTAATTAAGTCTTTGTTAGGAACAAAATGTATGGGTTTATATTAATATAAAAGTTTCCAGAATTCCTTAGCTCAAATGATATTGAGCATTGAAAAGTAATGCTTTATCAATATGTGTGAAACATTAATCATTGATTGATTAGCCAAGATAAGGTATTTCTAAGAATTCAATGAGATCATTTACAAAAACGCACTGATAAGTAGTATGTGTTTTCTATGAGAAGACGTTGTCTGCTTCCCGGTGGGACCACAATGTGTGTGCTTACCTATCAGTGAGTACAAAGGAGTGAGATCTAGCTCTCCGTGCCCCACCCCCTCTAGTCGTTTATACCTGGCGCGCTAATTAACTCAATTAACATTAACATTTTCATCATATTTCCTTTTTAAAGTTGATGGAATTGGCTTCAACAACTTTCTATGCAATGTGTATGTGTTTGTGAGATTATGTTTTTCTCGATAGATAAACTATCATACTCTAGAAAAGAATATGGTTTACTGGGGAAAAATGGAAATATATTTTTCTTATAATTAGAGTGATAATTCCTATATTTATTCATTAATACGTGAAATAAGTTATGACAGTTATTTACTTCATTAATATAACTAGGTCATAACACTAAACCGTTACAAGGGAGCCGTGATAAGAACCCAAGATATCACAAGAAAATTTTGATTAAATAGTTTATCAGAAGTGTGCGAGAGATAGCTGGCTCAGTAACTGCTCTCTGGACGTTGTTGGTGCACCCTCTCTTCACTACTCGCAGGAGCCCCAGTAAGCTACTGTTGTATATTCATTTTAACATAATCGCTGTCCTTAAAACAGACTAAACATTATTTGCAGAACAGCTTAACAGGGCTTTAATTTATATGGCGAATCTTTTTACGGGCTCACCATAAGCTACATGGACATTTTAGTAAATCTATAACAAGAACGAGTCTTCGAGTTATGCAGCTGGTGTGGGGTTGCCACCTGAGGAGGATCAGAGTTCGACCTAAGTGCGCGACCTCGATATCAGCCTATATATATACAGGCTTCCTGTCTCTGACAACGGGAATTATTATTAATTATCATTTGCAGGTGTGGTGTTACGTGGATAGACCTGCAATGGCCTTCCCGAGGTGGAGGTTGGTGTGTGTGATGGTGGTGGTGGTGGGCTGTGCCACCTCGATGTCTTCTATCGCCTCTCCAACTCAAGGTGACTTGTCTTGATTACTGTTTCTCTATACTGTGAAAGACCACAGCTGCAAACTTTACTAATCAAGGTTTTCCTGATTCTGTGGTACCAATTCTCATAAATTTGTTATTCTTTTTTACCTCAGAGTTACAGCTGACTAGATATCGCTTGAATACAATTGTTTTCTTGAAGAATCGTACTGACTTAATATAAGTAAAACTGCCTTGCAAATAAAGTTGCCTAAAATATGGAGCTGGTATATAAATGAATTAAGAGACGTGTAACTTATAGTTCATTCAAAATAAATATGTAGGAACATTACTGCCTTTGTTGTGACACACTACTTCTTCTCTATTGTGTAATATATTCCTACCGTCTCTTAACTATCATTCCTTTTGTAATATTCTGTATCACCACTTTCATTATTCTTATATAATATATTCTTACTTTGTCATACCTTTATCATTCTTTGTGTAATGTAGGCTGTTCTTTATCACTACTTTCTTTAATTCTTACTTTCATCACTTTTTGTGTAATATATTTCTCCTTATATAATACATTCTTACCTTGTCATACCTTTATCATTCTTTGTGTAATGTAGGCTATTCTTTATCACTACTTTCTTTAATTCTTACTTTCATCACTTTTTGTGTAATATATTCCACACTGCTGCTTTCTCTTCGTATTGTCAGCTATCAGTATGGATATGTAACCATATATATCTCGTGCCAAGACCAGTGAACTGACCTGTCTTGTCAGTTCACGCATAACATACGAACTTTGTAACACCCTATTACTTGCATATATTATTCAATGTCATTTATTTTCAGTTGTAATTTAGCATACACATTATTAATTCTATAATTATAAATTGAACTTCTAATGGCACCCAACCACGACTAATATTAACCTTAAGAAATCTTTTTGTCTACATGTGAATCCATTATATTGATATATTTATTATCAAAACAGCTCTGCAATCAAGTATTATTTTATAATTAGTTCCTAGTACTGTATTTGAATTAATGTTTATAATTAATGCTTGTCAGTTCTTAGTTTAGTTAATTTATTATGCACCCTATACCCATCCTGTGGGCGGTAGTGGAAAGGGTTACAGAGGCACATAATGGGCTCAGGGACTGAACCCCACAATTCATTTAGCTAAGCAAGTTACAATCTTGGTGAGCTAGTTACAAAATTCAATGCACATCGTCACATCAACAATGGGCTCGACACCAACCACAAGTACAGTTCCTAAATTAAACAACTGACATATGTGGAGAGCTAGTGTTACAATTTATATGTTTATCCTGCACACAGCCCCCCATCCAGTGGGCAACGGGGTTGTCAGTTCTTCAAGCGTTTTCGCCAATAAGACTTCTCCAATTACCAGACTAATTACTCACTCTCGTGGTTATATTTTGCCAGATATACGATTGGACTCAGTGCTTCTAGACTGGACCAATACCCTAGACGAAACGGAAGCGACAGTTTGTTTCCAAAATGGACGTGAGAACTCTCGGTCAAATTCATCCCAGTACGAGTTGGTCATTACCAATGACCTGGGCAGGCGGTGGCAACAGCGAGGAGCGTCAATGGCGGACAATCGTTGGTGTTTTCCCGGAGTGATCCTACCAAGATCAGACCTTTCTAAGACACTGAGAGCATCGGTAACTCTGAAGGATGCCAGTTTGAAGACTGTGCTCGCTAGAAAAGAAATCGAGTTATTCCCTATTGGTATGTAAACTATTTTTCCTTAATAAAATTGCTAAATAATAACAATATTGGAAAACGTTTATTTGTTCATATTAAAACGTGAACGTCTCTTATGATATCACTGTAAGTGCCACCATCTTGCAGTGCCATGGGTTGATGGTGTAGTTGTCTCCTGGAGAAACCCCGGGGGCCACACCTTCACCGTCAGGAGGGAGGGTGATCCTGGTCCCCTTGCCACCTCCCTTACATGTGACTCCTGCAGCTACATCGTCTTACCGCAGGTACGATCAGCAGCATCCTAGCTAAATCATACACTCGAACCACTGCACCTACTGCCTCACCCTCAGGTAATGTGACGTGCCTCTAACCGTCACACTGCACCCACCACCTCACCCTTAAGTAGTATGACAAGCCTCTAACCGTCACACTGCGCGTACCTCCTCACTTCTTTGTATGTATGTGTGTGTATGTATGTATGTATGTATGTATGTGTGTGTGTATGTATGTATGTATGTATGTATGTATGTATGTATGTATGTATGTATGTATGTATGTATGTATGTATGCGTGTGTATGTATGTATGTGTATAAAGTATAAAGCTGATCAGAATTACATTTCACCATTATAAATTCACATTAATGTATTCATAAATCTGTGTATCTATGTATTTATATATGTAGCTTAGCCTAACATTTTAAAAGCACTACGATCACCTTCTGTGGTTGTTCAATAAATCTCTGAACTGTATGTTTGACAAATCTCTCACCCTGTCCATGGAGGACAGAAGAGCTAGTTAGCATTGAAAATGTGTGGCCACGTCTTTGGTAGAAAATAATAATAATAATAATAATAAAAACTCCTTTGACAAACTTACGTTTATCCTTCAATGTTGTATGTTAGGCCTTACAGATGAAGGTAATATCTGTGTGTAACTTTACAGATGAAGCTGATATTTTGAGTCTGTAGGCTTTACAAATCATGCTGATATTTGACTGTATAAGACTACATATCAAACTGACATTTGTGTCTGTAAGCCTACAGATTAAGCTAATATTTGCCGATTTATAAGGCGTCTATTGCTAATAATTAATTATGTAACGGGATTAGCATTTTGATATCAAACATTTTCTGTAATCTACGATTAATATTTAAATAAATATACTTAAAATACTTTTTAAGAGTTGCAGAAGATAGGCGTAATTATTAAAAGCAAACATTTTTATTTTTTTTTACTTAAGCAAATTGTTTGCAACAAGTTTACACATATCCATGTTGATAATATTCTAATTACTTATTGTTGTCTAGGACGAGGAAGAGAGCGTGGTTATCATAGAAACCCAATACTCCTCTCCAGCCCATCAGCTGAGCCGTGTTGCTGTCGGTTACGGTAAACAACTTTATTTAGTAGTATATTTACTAAAAAGTATATATTCATTGCCACTTGGAAAATATGCTATTTGTATATTGAAGTAATTATTGTGTTAAATGGTAACGGGATTACTAATAATGCTCCCTGACTTGTCTGTTAATTCATTGTTTAATTCATGCATTCTTTCGTTTGTTGATTGTTATTTTCGTATCAGTAGCCACAAATATCATTTATCGTAAATTACAGTTATATAATTTACTTAATTTCATATTTTACTGTCAAATTTACAAAACAAAAAAAGAAGATTTTTATGTTAAATATTTCCATTTATTTGAGGATAATAAGTATTACAGCACATCCTCTTGTTTAGAGAGTACTTATAATAACAATGTGGACCTCGTATATATAATGACATAATGTGCATCTAGAAAGTAGAATTTAGTACTATTGAATTAGGACAAAGCGGAAAAGGTTTTGTATTTATGATACTAATAAAACCTAACAGCCTACCCATCCTAGGCCATCCTAGGAGGGAGCCGGTCGGCCAAACGGACAGCACGCTGGACTTGTGATCCTGGGTTCGATCCCAGGCGCCGGCGAGAAACAATGGGCAGAGTTTCTTTCACCCTATGCCCCTGTTACCTAGCAGTAAAATAGGTACCTGGGTGTTAGTCAGCTGTCACGGGCTGCTTCCTGGGGGTGGAGGCCTGGTCGAGGACCGGACCGCGGGGACACTAAAAAGCCCCGAAATCATCTCAAGATAACCTCAAGATAGGCCTCATACACGCCATGGGAGGCCTAATATAGTACACATATGTGATATACTAGGCCTAGGAATATTTAAGTTTGGTTTTTAGCTTTATTTTTTCCGGACTATAAAGAGAATGACACTAAATTCTACTACCGTATCTAATTGCCCATTACATCAATATATATATTCGCGATGGTACACATAGTTGCAACCAGAACTATGTAAACAGGAAGATGAGTTGACTTATTATTGTTGATGTAACGTGGGTATGGCACTTTCAGACTTTCTAGCCAACGCCGAACTACAGTTACTGGAGATTCATCAAGTGTTGAGAGACGGTCAACCTCTGGGAACTGACCACAACCTCAGGCTGACCATTCTACCCCTGGATGACATACCAATGGTGCAAGGGTGGAAACTAATACTTACAGATTCTAATCAATCTTGGCCTTGTTTAACTCCCGTCAATCTAATAACATACACAAATAACACAGCAGCGGAAATCGAATTTGAATGCAACCTTATAGATTCGATATATATTTTCTTAGCGGCCTATGACGACACCAACTTTACTAACATCATAGCTTTCTATTATGCCATCGTTTCAATTGAAGGTAAGAATGGTTTGTGTGGGGTGGGCAGAATTACCACGTCAGTGTATATAAAGACATCCTCGTTTTATTGTTGTTACGGTTCCTTGCATACTGAGTAATTTCGCCAACCTTTTTATTTATGTAAATTATATTTTATTGTTTTTCTGCATATAAGCAAAATGTGGATGTATACGAATGTATCTTCAGGCTGCGTCTTTGTACGCGTGTATAATGTAGACTGTGTCTGTGTATACGTGTATAATGTAGACTGTCTGTGTAAGTGTGTATAATGTAGGCTGTGTCTGTGTATGATGTAGAGTGTCTGTGTACGCGTGTATAATGTAGACTGTGTCTGTGTACATGTGTATAATGTAGGCTGTGTCTGTGTAAGTGTGTATAATGTAGGCTATGTCTGTGTACACGTGTATAATGTAGGCTGTGTCTGTGTACGCGTGTATAATGTAGGCTGTGCCTGTGTACGCGTGTATAATTTAGGCTGTGTCTGTGTACGCGTGTATAATGTAGGCTGTGTCTGTGTACGCGTGTATGATGTAGGCTGTGTCTGTGTACGCGTGTATGATGTAGGCTGTGTCTGTGTACGCGTGTATAATGTAGGCTGTGTCTGTGTACGCGTGTATAATTTAGGCTGTGTCTGTGTACGCGTGTATAATTTAGGCTGTGTCTGTGTACGCGTGTATAATTTAGGCTGTGTCTGTGTACGCGTGTATGATGTAGGCTGTGTCTGTGTACGCGTGTATAATGTAGGCTGTGTCTGTGTACGCGTGTATAATTTAGGCTGTGTCTGTGTACACGTGTATAATGTAATCTGTGTTTGTGCACGTATCTGAACCTCCGCAGCCGTCCTTGCATATAGTAAGGATTGCAAGAGTGTAGACTATCTGTGCGTGTTTGCCTGTATTTTGTTTTTGTAAGTACAGTATGTAAGAGTTAGCGGTGTCTGTCTATGTGTGTAAGTGTAACCTGTTTCTTTATGTCTGTGTAAGTAAAGGCTTGCCAGTCATGTATTTATGTTCAAGTGTGAGTTACGTCTGTTTTTCTTTATAGTGTAAACTGTCTGTACACTAGAGCACACGTGAAGCTTTTCTCAGTGTATAAATTACATGTATATACATATCATGGTTTCGTGTCTATATTTACTGTTTCTGTATGTCTGTCCCGTGTCTCGCTTGTTATCTGTTTCTTATTGTCATTAATTCTGTATTACTTTTTTCTCAAATTATAATTACTGAAATATATTTCAATAAACGGAGATACATATGAAAATATGAAAAAAGAGAAAGTCTTATAAATAGGTCACACAAAGCATCGTATATATTTTAGTTTGTGTTCCCCAGATCTGGGCACGAGGGTGGCGTGGGTGGGCGGTGATGGCGACTTGAGATATCTTCGTGTTGAGGCCGGGACTTTGGACCAGGTGACAGTGGGGGACCAGCAGTGCTCCAGTGCGGTCAGTCCCTGCTACTTCTCCACTACAGAATTCCATGAGATACCCCATGAGATACCTCGGTGTAAGAACCTCACAACTAGCACAAATGAGACCATTTTACAGTGTGACGACATCATTGGAACATCACAGAGTAAGTATGGGGAACATCGCAGAGTAGTACTAGATACTGAGACGGCTAGTGATAACCTCCTCAAAGGTCCCCGTTCTCATATATATATATATATATATATATATATATATATATATATATATATATATATATATATATATATATATATATATATCTACATTTGAGTGAGGTGGAAGGGGTGATGTGGCATTAACACAAGACAGAACAAGATGTGGCATTAATAGGGTATTAATTTCATCAACACAAGACAGAACAAAAGGTGGTATTAATAGGGTATTAATTTCATCAACACAAGACAGAACAAAAGGTGGTATTAATAGGGTATTAATTTCATCAACACAAGACAGAACACGAAACAATGGATATTGAATAGAAGTGTTTGTAGAAAGCCTATTGGTCCATATTTCTTGATGCTTCTATATTGGAGCGGAGTCTTGAGGTGGGTAGAATATAGTTGTGTATATATATATATATATATATATATATATATATATATATATATATATATATATATATATATATATATATATATATATATATATATATGTGTGTGTGTGTATATCACGAAAATAAACACGTGATTAAGAATGTGACAATGTCAGACCACGGAGGAAAAATGAAACAGGAAATTTCCTTAAGTACTTTCGTATATTAAATACATCTTCAGAAGGTCCAAACCCTTCTGAAGATGTATTTAATATACGAAAGTACTTAAGGAAATTTCCTGTTTCATTTTTTCTCCGTGGTCTGACATTGTCATATATATATATATATTTCTTTATAGCTGGAAAAAGTAGCTGATGCCATGCTAAGCGTAGCAACATCAGACAAGGAGAAAGCCCGCCTCAGAGCAGTTCGTGCCCCCCATGCAGGAGACTTCCTCCTGGCAGTACCCATGTCTGCAATGGGCACGCGCCTAGATCCAGAATCCCTTCGTGTAGCAGTGGCCCTCCGCCTTGGTGCCCCAATTCACACTGAATACAAGTGTATTTGCAACAGGGTGGAAGCAGACCAATACGGACTGCATGGGTTGCATTGCGGAAGCACAAAGGGCTGGCATGCAAGACACAACGAGGTCAATGACATCATCAAGAGAAGCCTCGTCTCAGCTGGGTGCCCAGCGGAGAGAGAACCTCGCATCCTAGGGGTCCAAAACCCGGATTTCCCCGCACTTCGCCCTGATGGCATCACCATATACTCCTGGAAGGAGGGTAGACAGTTGGTGTGGGACTACACTTGTGTATCCACCCTGGCTGACACCTATGTACACTTCGGAGCTGATCAAGCAGGTGGGGCGGCCAACCACAGGGAAACAGCAAAATCACTCAAGTACAGGCGACTGGAAGGTCAATACCTCTTTGTTCCCATAGCGTCTGAGACGCATGGCCCCTGGGGCAAGAGTGCCTTGGGATTTCTCAAGGAATTGGGGTCCAAGCTCAATGACGTCACCAGAGACCCAAGGGCTTCCAGTTTTTTATTTCAGCGTCTCAGTGTGGCGATCCAGAGGGGAAATGCTTGCTGCGTCCTCGGTTCCTGTCCAGAAGCGGAGGAGCTTCAAGAGATCCATAACCTTTAGGCATTTGTCTTGTATGTTTTGTAACCTTTAAATACACAATAAAGGAAAAAAAAAAAGGGAAGGGGGTGGTAGGAGAAAAGCACACAGAAACTGTATTGGAGGGGACCCACATTCCCTCCAATGCGTTATGTGTGGTTTCCTCCGAGGCTATGGGTCCCCCTTCTTCCAGCCAGAGGTGGTACTCCCTTCCCTATTGTAAAAAAAAAAATAAAAAAAAAAAAAAAATAAAAAATATATATACAGTATATATATATATATATATAGTTGTGTATATATATATATATATATATATATATATATATATATATATATATATATATATATATATATTAGTTATATAAATTCATACGTAAACAAGAACATTAGTAAATTTCTAGATAAATCTAAAACAAAGTTAGCAGTTGGTCTCACTGCCTTGCTTGTTATCCTTTGTAAATCAAATTCTAATTTTCGCGATCAGTTTTATCATTTTTTATATTCTTTGCTGGTATCTGAATCCTCTGTTTGCTTTAGCTAGGATTATAACGCCACGTTTATAAGCAACTGACGGCAGCTGTCAATAATCAGTACACTTATAAAATCTGTTTAGGTCTTCTCATTTGTTTTGTTGCTTGGTGATGGTAAATATTACATCTAAAGCAATTTAAAAATCATTTATAAGAAATGGCATATTTCAGCCAGATTAGTGTAGACGTAGTTGTAACATGTGTCAGTAGACGTTGGACTGTGGTTGTAGCTGTAGACACAAATAAGAAAACAAATGTTGTATCGCCTGTATCTTCCAGAGATGGACGAGGTGCCGCAGCTGGTACTGCTGCAGGAGGAGAAGGTTCTTAAGGCTACCTACTCCTTAAATGCCTCCTCGGCTGAAGTCGTCGTCACCAACTGGACTGACAACAGCGTTTTTCCCTCTGACAGCAACTTCGAATGTTTGTTTGTTGACACGAGCACGTGCAAAGCGGCTGTCACACATGGACTTGAGGGAAAGGGCGTGAACACCATGCTGGTCCTCTTGAACGAGAAAGGATACGTCACCAACTCCGTCATTGTTCCGTTTGAGGGTGAGAGATAGCGATCTGTTCAGGGTCGAGGGTCAGGCGTTAGACTCTGGTACTCTCCCTCAATTACTCTGGTACCTACTCTTATTTTGGTACCCTCCCTTACTTTGGTATTTACTCGTATTTTGGTATTATTCTTTACTTTACAGGTACCCTCCCTTGTCTAGGCATCCTCTCTCTCCTCTGATGTCTTCCCTTTGCATCCCCTTGGTTGCCCTCCTTCCCTCTGGTACCCTACCTCCGCTCTGATACCTTCTCTCCTCTCTGGTACCTCCCTTCCTTCTGGTACCTCCCTTCCTTCTGGTACCTCCCTTCCTTCTGGTACCTCCCTTCCTTCTGGTACCTATCCTTTCGTGTACTCTCTTCGTGATTCCTCCCTTCTCTTTACCTCTCTCTCTTTGTACCATCTGTAACATTCTAGAGAACATTTTAGTTTTGTTTTATACTTTAGATATAAAACGGGTAAACAATAAAATAATAATAATAATAATAATAATAACGTTGCAATAATTAATATTATTAAATATTATAAAAGTAAATATTTAGTCATGGCTGCTGAGATAGTGTGTTGTAGCAGGTCGTGTTGTCCGCAGTGTACAAGGTGTCGGCTCGGACCCTGCTTCAAGACGTGCTGCAGGTGACGTGGGATGACGCCTCTGCAGGCGTCTATCAAGTGAGCATCTCCAACTCGTCAGCGGAGTCTCACGTAACTGTCAACTGCAGCATTGACGGCGGTCAGGCCGACGCCAGCTGCCAGGCGCACCTCGTACAGCTGGCCCTGGCAGGAAAGTCTTCAGTGACTGTACAGAAGTACGCTGAGAGCAACGCTGTGCTCACCACTGTTGTCAAGGGTAAGTGGCTTTCTGGTCCAAATGGCAGACAAGAGTGGCAGGTCTTCGTCTGATATTACCCTTTATAAACCATATTCTTAAATGCTCATAATTATCAGTTTGCAGGTGAAGACTAAGAAACGCTGATATAACTTGAGGGAAATTCATTAAGGCAATTACAACTCACTAACATAATTGCCGCAGATGAGTTGGCGACGACGGGGGAGGTGAGGAAGGTGATGCTTATAGATGACGATACGCCAATGACGCGAGTCATTCTTGCGTCAACTAAGCCAGATATCCATAATGTGACTCTAGTGAGGATCGTGGAAGATGCTGAAGAATCCAATAGCTTCATCGAAGACTACTACGAAGGAAGTGTAAAGTATATAAACGATGATTACGTGTTTGAATTTTCTGGTGATATTCTGCAGTCTGTGGAAAGCGTCGACTTCCTCGTGTTAGGCTACTTAGATGATGGCACCATTGGGGTTGTTGGTGCTGCGTACCTCACACTTAATGGTAAGTATACCTTTACTCCTCCAGACTCATGCAATTTCCAATCCCATCACTCAAGGTTTGCAACCTTGCTCCCCTAGGAGATTTAACTCATAAAAAATGCATACATTATTTTGTATAAATGAATATAGCCACGTGTACTTGTCATTGAAACCCACATTGGGATCTGCCGAATGCTGACCTTGATAGGCTAATTTTGTTTGAAAGAAATGTTTTGTCTATGGTCGCGCTCACTCGCTGGGACTTGCTGCATGGTCTGATATCTACTCTACATATATGGTAATTCACACTAATGATTGTTGTGTCTTAACGGAATTATTCACCAGCTAAAGGCGTTAGCTGTTTTTTAGATCGATATTCGCATATTTTGAATAATTATATAATGGAATGTGAAAAATCTCGGAATTCAAGATAACACCATCAATGGAGTCCAAGAAATGTGTAAGTACTTCATTCATAATGATGTACTGCCAGGAATGTTGGCGATCAAAAATTTTGCTTACTGTAGGTGCAGCATGCACATGACTGTAAAGCTGCCGCCCAGTTGGGGGGTGTGGAGCAAGACTAGTAACTGTGTGACTCACCATAGATGTAAAATGCCTTGTATAGTGACTGTTGTGAGCCTCTTGTTGAATCATTTGTGATATAAACAGATTATTGATATGTATATGTATTTGTATAAATGATTGTATATATATGTACATATGTATGTAACATATACTTGATATTTAACCTCAGTGGGATACTTGATATTAGTAAGAAATTTCTCACAAAGAGACTTTGTTGGCACGGGTTAATGTTAAATTGTGAATGTGCTCATGTTCATATCATATAATGTAATGTTCATATCATATCATATAACCTTTTTATGTTATATGTTCAGTGTAATTTATAGACTATGCAAATTACTCTAAATTCATGTTAGCTTTAGTCTAACTGTAAGCCTCATCATTACAATGTTATGTTGTTTTGTGCAATATACGTCACCACTCAAATTTTGACCTATACATTATTCAGTTAATGGTTTAAAACTATATACATTTTGGCAGTACACTTATTAAGTCCAAACAGAACTGTAACGTGATTTATAAATATGTGACGACTAAAGTTTTATAATCAGTAATATTAATCTCGAGACATTGATCAATATATGCACATTATAGTTATTACATATTCTGATTTTGTTTGTATTTTAGCATCGAAATTAGTAAATACTGTAAAAGCGAAAGAGCATTAGATTAAATTAGTCATTATGGAAAGCCTATGATGATGGTACAGTTTAAGGCGCGGGTTTAAAGAGAAGCACGTGTTGAATATATTGGCAAATGATACTCGTAATGATATCATATTCGAGTAGAGAAAAAAATTTTGCTTCGCTAGAGTGAAATAATTTGTCTATAATTTTAAGGCCATTGTTGCGTGCTCTGTTTGATTAAGCCTTGATCTCTCTTGTGTAGCTCGGAGGGCAGTATTGCTGAAGAGGGCATACTAATGGACTAATTGTATAATGAGAATAACTTCCACGGATCCCAAACTGAAAGACATCCCAATCAAACCCATAAGTGGTTGATTTTTTTACATCTTCAGCACACTGCTTTTTGTCATAATTTGCTTTCATTTTCTCTTTACATAACTTATACAGTCCAATAAATAACTTGTCTTTTCAATTTTGCTAATAATATGCATTACTTTTCTGTTACCAGCTTTAGGCAAAATGAACACAACCTAACATTTTCCTATATGACGCGGGTTTTCCCAACATTCTAGTATAAAACACTGACAAAACTGTGTTCCAGTGAATGGTAATAACTAAACCACACAAAAAGGTTTCCGTAAGCTAATTCTTACACTAGCCACGAAACATTTCAGTTCTGCAGGAGAAGATTGTGTGGGTGGGAGCAGAGACTACGAACTCGTCTGCTTCGGTCCGGGTAGATCCTGACTCACCGGATAACGTCATTAATGGGTCAAAAGTGTGTTTTGAGGGAGCTTCCTCATGCTACTACTTGGAGGTCGGAGGAGAGCAGGCGGTGAACAACGTACAGAGGTGTGAGAAAGTGAACAACACGGCGCCTGGAGGTCCCCCTCAAGTGTATCACTGCGACACTTCGGCCACTCCTTTCACAGGTGGGTGTGAAACTTCGTCTACTCCCTCCACAGATGGGCGTGACACTACGACCACTTATCAAAACACATCAGTCTTTTGCAAGTGGTGCATTGCAGACACCACTGATTTTTTGTTATTATTTTTCATTGCGTGTATTTTTTCTTTATCTTCGTGGGAGCTGCCTCGTATGGACGAATAGGCTTTCTGTAGTTTCCTTTATTCTTGTTATGTTCATTGCAATGGTTGTATGTGGTCCATGTGTTCTTACCTATTGGTGCTCTTGGCAGAGAAATAGCTCTTGGGCACAGCTCACCGCACTCGAGTATCATTTTTTCAGAAAGATTTTTGTTGAGATTCCTAATTGCTGTTGTAATGTCCGCAAATTGCTATTTTGATGTGAGATTTAGTGTGGTATATTCATTATGAGGTCTCTGTCCTCTGCTTAATCTGTAATGATATTTTGACTTTTCTTTATATTTTACTATTTTCATAAATTTGCATTTGCAGTGATTTTACTAATTAGTTATTTTTAAAATCGACATTTCCTGTAAGGTTGTTAACGTATATCAGAAACAGAAGGGGACCCAGTACTGGACTTTGTGGGACACCACTCGACTGCTCTGTCCTTCTTGATTCACTGTGACACTGCTTTTCTCATCAGATATCTCTGTACTCAGACAAGGACGCTTCTTAGTATAAACCATAGTTCTCGATGTTATATATAAATCTTTAATGAAGAATTGCACCAGACTTTGTGTCAGTCTATGGAAATCCAATCCCCTCATAACTCTCGTCTCTGATTCTTGTCACCGTCTTAAATTTGAATTAGATTTATTAGCAACGATTTTCCTTTGTGAATCAGTGTTGTTTCTGTGTTGCGAATTTTGTCCTGAGATTTCCAGAATCCATTGTATGGTTAAGTTCATCAGTGAACAAATCAGTGTAGTTAAGTTCATCAGTGTCATGCAAGTGATGGCTGTTAGGTGTCCTGGTTAGTAATTTATCGCCTCATGGCTGTGTCCGTTGGTAAGACTGGTGGGTCTTTAGCTTCACACATTGCCGGAACCTCTCTTGTAACATGAGTACGACTGTATATTCTAGTCAGTCGATAATGTTTTATTTGGTATATTCGCCGCGTGTTTAGTACCTAAGGTGCTGTTTGTTCTCTACCTGTTACCGTTAATCCATCTATAGGTCTTCCAGGTTATTGTTTTTTTCTGTTATTATGTCGCATAATCTCTCATTCCATCCTTTCTTATCTTGCCTATCTTCCCACTCCCTTCTATATACTTCCTGAAATTTCCGATAACTTTATTTGTATTTATCTTTTTTTGTTAATTCATTACCTTCTTCAGTGTGATGACCTTAAGCACGACCCATCTTGTTGTCTTTTTTTTATTATTATTATTTTTCTACCACAGACGTGGCCACACATTTACAATGCTAACCAGCATATATACATTTTCTTCTGTCCTCCATGGACAGGGTTAGAGATGTGTTAAACATATAGTTCAGGAGTTTATTGAACAATCAACCACAGAAGGTGATTCGGTGCTTTTAAAATGCTAAGCTAACCTACATACGTAAATACATAGATACACAGATTTACGTATGCCCTACATAAAGTGTTCAATGTGTCTTTTACATAGTGTCTTGACAGTCTGGCTTGGTCCTTGGTTTTCACCACATTATAAGTTTTCTAATTACTTTACTGTTTCCAGACAACTTACGTCTGAGTTTAATTCTAACTTTTCTATTTCAATTCCTATGATAAATTAAATTGTAGAAACATGATTAATTTACTAAATCAACATTAATTAATTAAATCGCCATGACGTGAAAGAATTACCGCAAAAATGTGAACCGCCTTGTGAACCAATGTGAGAGGAGTGACTCATAAACTAGCATGAACCGCAGAACTGACATCAGTGACGGAGGTGAAGGTGACGGGCGAGAACCTGCTGGTCACCCTCGGCGCCTCCGTCACCAACGGCTTAGTTGAAGTCATCGCTTACGACCCCTCAAACCCGGGCAAGGTCTACTCTGACCCAGCTAATTCGACTTGCAACAGTGAGGTACAGAACAGAAAGTGCACTCAGCCCTTAAAGGTATGTAAACAAACACATTGGGAGTGTTAAGTTTACGGGCTATTCATGCCCGTGCCACCTCTTGGGTGGCTTAATCTTTATCAATCTAGTGTTAACTTTTCAAGCTTGTGGCTATAATAAAGGGTGAGAAGACTAGTAGAGCAGACACTGTTGATGAGGTTACCTTCAAGGGGTTGAACACTGTATCGTAGTACAGTTGGCTTCGTTCCCGACTCATAGTCGGGAATCCCGGGTTCGATTTCCCGGCGGGACAGAAATCGGTGTTTAATTTCCTTTCGCCTAATGCCTCTGTTCAATTAGCAGAAAATAGGTACCTGTGAGTCTAACTGCTGTTAGGTTACGTCCTGGGGGAAGATCAGTAGTTAGACCATGAGGAGACCTCGAGTCACGCCTATATATATACAAACTTCCAGTCCCCAATAATGGGAATTAAGTATTACTGGTATTAGATGTAACAGAGGGATGGTGAAGTGAAGGTGTGGGTGTGGGGAGGCTTGTGGGGTTATACCGGCAGTGGTATTCTCATGTCACCGCAAGATAGTGTCTCTCAACTCTGGAATATTTCACCCGCAAATTTTTAACCCAGATTTTGTTCACTGGTGAACAGGGGACGCAAGAGAAGCAGGTGGTGAACGTGCTGGTCGTACAAGTGGATAACTCCGGCACCGTCCTGGGATCCACTCTCCTCCAAGCTTCAGGTCAATACTCCTGGCTAAGTTATATTCTCATTTACTGATACACATTTTAAGACTGTTCACCTGGTATTGATCACACTAATTGTTAGACCTGCTGATATGATCAATAATCTACACCGTGCTAAATGACTGTATTACTTTAGCTTCTAATATATCTTAAAAAAAGCTGTATACATACATACAAGATGAGTTACAAACATAATGTTGGATTTCTAGATAGAGTTAGTACATACAATGCCTAAAGCCGCTAATTTATTTATTTATTTATTTATTTATTTATATCAACAGTGCCAGTAGAATCAACTAAAGCATGGGTCATCGTTGTGTCCGTCTTGGGCGCTGTTTTTGGCGTCGCGATCATCGCAGCCATTATCATCATTATTGTGTAAGTGTACACAATAATGTCCCGTGTTGCACAGCTGCCAACCCTCGCATCTGTAGGCCTAACACCTGCTGAGAGCTCTCCGTTACTGGGCCTCTTTTATTTTATATGCCAGCTGAACATATATATATAATTCTTTTATCATTTGTTCATTTTGTTAGATTGTTTGTAAAAGTAAACGATGCTTAGAGCTTGTATCTCCTGGCAGGAAGAAGAAGAAGCTGGCCAAGTCTGAGACGAGGTCGAAGTCGTCTCTTGAGGAGGTGATACACGACACGGCCTACTCCACAACAAACACTCCTCCCCCGGGGCTGTCGCAGGCTTCCTCTTGGAACCCAAGCGGCAGATCCACCGACTACCAGGTGCACTTAAAGAAAAATGGTGGTATATATACTGATAAGTATGCTTCTCAGTATATATATATATTGAGCAGTATACCTCTCGATATACATTGACAACAGTACGCCTCGGTATATATACCGATTGACAAAATACTAAATTAAATCATTAAAATATTTCACTAGAACAGCATAGAAAAAATAAGGTGTAATTATAAAATATATCTAGTTATTTATCCTAACAATGTAGTTAAACCTATATTTCTGAGTGTGGCTTAAGTACGACAAACATGTTCCTGCTCAGTCCAAGATTGATAAGTGTTTCTTTTTGCAGAATGATGAGTTTGCTTCCGGTTCTGTCTATTTACCAAAAGTGAGCTTGAAGCCAAGAGGATCCCCTTCGGGACATTCTCACAGCGAGTACTCTCCTTCCACAGTAAGATTTGGCCACATTAACCTTTCTGAGCCATATACTCTCGCCCTTAAATATCACGCCACAGCTTGATTCAGTTTCTCCTCCCTTGTTAACTTAAACATATTGTACGGGGGATCCCTTTCTTGTTCTCGGTCTACCTTATTCAATACTTTTGTCAACTACAAACTGTTAGATCTGTTCTGCGAGTTCATTAACAGCCGTAATCAGTAATCTCCACTTAGACTTATGGAGGCGCATACCAAGATGCAAACCACAACAATTGCCTAGCTCCCGGGTACCTATTTTACTGCTAGGTGAACAGTGTCATTAGGTGAAAGGAAATATGGCCAGCCGTTGCTCTCTCGATCAGGAATTGAACCCGAGTCACCAGGTTGCAAGCCGAGGACGTAGACTACTGTGCTACAGCGATATACTACGTGTTGACTCTTATAGCCCTAGTTTATTTACCACTAGACCGTGTGGAGCCAAACACGCATATCTTGTTTTAGTATTTGAATGTATGTAAGAGCAAACGACATTTAATGTATATGTTATTTATTGTACTACTACTGTGGCTATTTCACTCCACGCCCATCCTCAACACCCTCAAAAGTGTCCAGCTGCTAAAGCATATATTTGTTAATATTTCTAATACAGTGCGATAAGGCGGAATTATCTTATTTCTCGGTCTCAAATGTGTAAACTTTCTTATATGTTATGGTTGTGTACATCGTTAGCTCTAGGCTAGGCAAGGTGTTGTGATTTCGGTGGCAGTTTAAAGTTTATACGTGAGTTAAGTATTTAGAAAAATGCTTCGAATATAGTGGTTAAAGTTTAACGTAATTCGTTTGTTATGTGTAATATACAGTTAATTCATAAACCGGGGGACAGCTCTTGGATGAAATGGATTTGGGACATTTTTTAAAGGGGGAGTTTTTTTGTGGGTGGGGGGGGGGGAGGGGGTTACAGTTTTAAGGACAATTTATTCGCTCTAATTGCAAAGATAGCTTTATTCCAGGAAGTATCTAAATTTTGTAACAAGGAAGAGAGGTTTCTGTTTTCACCATGCATATATATTATTAATTTTTTTGTTGACTAATTTAGGTGTTTGTCTTTGTACTTAACATAATGGTAATATGAAGAATTAAATTACGACATTGTTTGTTCCAGTCTAACCGGGACACAAGATTTTGAAACATCCAGTGAGACTTTTACACCAGTCAATCATCTCATGAACCAGCACCAGTTATCAAATAGCCTAGCATCAGTCTTCTCTTGTTCCGGAGTCAATCTCATGAACCAGCATCAATTATTAAATGGACATAAGCATCAGCCGACTTCTGTGCCGCGAGTCAGTATCTCCAGAAACAGCATCAGTCATCCCATGAAGGCTGCAAACCCCATCTGAGGATCACCGAGAAACTGTTGTGTGAACAGTATATATTATCTTATTCGTACATGCAATATATACAATACATTAGATATGTTAAAGTGGTTACATAGTAGGTAAAGTAATTGTTTATCAAAATCACTTTTAAATACAGCTTTTCCCGCATAACTTAAAAAATATGTTGTTATTTTAAATTGTAGGGTTGTTGGGCAAGCATATACACATTGTTGAATAAGTTAAGCAAATGATAACATGTTTTAAAGTGATACTTAATGTTGAAAAGTATCCTGCAAGACTTTCTTCTTCTGATGTTGCCCTAACTCTACAGTCAAACTTCTCAGTCTTTGTTTTCATAACAGTTCCCAAGATTTACTGTAAATGGGTCAGTATTAGTTCTCCCAAATTTGGCGAAACTAATTGCCTACGTTTCGGTCTGATATTAGGATCACTTATACTTTTTCAATACATCCCAGATTCAGCAATGACCAAAAACGTGTGTCTACAGCTGTATGTGTGTGAGTGTAAGACTTGAAAGTGGCTACTGTGCTATAACTAGACTTCATTCGTGTTTAGAGAGTAGGAATATTTCTTTATTTTTTCTTAACTGTATCATGCTCAAACGAGACATGCATCTTCTCTACAATCTTCAGGGATCCAAATTTGAATATGCTCTCCAAATTCTCTTGTCATATTCCAAATGGTATGGGGTGTCACCAGATTTTACAAATGTTGCCAAAATCATCTATCGCCTCACCAAGGGCCCCCCACGGCTACTTAATATACACCGCCATAAAAATACCCTTGCCTCTCAACCTGGACGGTGGAGAGACTTGTTAAAGTTGCGTCGCAGACGTACATATTGGACGCAAAAGACAACATTGTGTTCAGAATCGTACCTTATAATTTGTTTACATTGTATTAATATACAGGTAGTTCATATTATAGTGCCGTCTACCGTCCCTGTAACACAAGTTTCATTCCGTGGAGCCGTTCTGCATCTCACAGAATATAGCCAATCAATACGTTCGCCTCTCAAGCTAATGAGAGCATTGTTGGTGCCTCAGCTTCCCTGCTTGGGCCCTCATGTGCGTAATGATATACCGATTGTGATTGTTAACCTGTGTGTGTTTTATGTGGTTCTATGTTCTATGTGGCTCTATGTAAATGTGTATAGTATATTTAAGTTAGATAAGTGCAGAATCTTTCTATCCTAGTTAAAATGGTACACATAGCGATAAAACTGTATCTGTACAAAATATGATTTTTTCTATACTTGGCATAATATCTATATTATGCAAGGCCTATTATGCAAAGCTCAATAAGGCAAGGCCCGATTTGCCTAATAGGCGGAATGATTTTCGCTATTTTAAAAAAATTGCTTCCAGTTGGTTTGAAATAATATTATATTATAATAAGAACATGACTTATTGACTTAGTTATGTTAGTTTAGGTTAGGTTAAGTAGGTTAGGTTTGGTCATATTTCTACTTTAGTTTGAACTCAAATTAACAAAAAAGTAAATAATTTATAATATAATGGAAAGCTTTATCTTTCTAAAGAAAAATATATAGCTTCAGGAAAACTCGGCTCATATATATATTATAATATATATATATATATATATATATATATATATATATATATATATATATATATATATATATATATATATATATATATATATTAACATATATATATATATTATAATATATATATATATATATAAATAGATGGATCTATGTAACTTTGCATGTCACAACAGGTGTATCTATAGATCTATGGTATAGCTTGTGTGCCTTTTTTATGTAGACTAACAAGCTATACTTGCTAATTAGGGTTTTATATTGATAATTACTTTACCTGTCAATAGTGTCCCAGCCTATACTGTGTATAAACTCACCATTATGCTCAATATTGACTAAGCAACCTATTGTTGCTTACTGTAGGTTGCTACACTATACTGTACTTACTACACTATAGGTTGTGACTATAGTATGTGAAGTACTTACTTCACATGCTATATTTATGGTATCATTAAATTTCATAGTATCTTTTATTATAATATCTTAGATATTTTATTTTTAGGTTTTTAATTAATGCATACATGGATTTCAAATACTATGATGTATTTTTCTAACTTAAAACTGTATTTTACTATATGTTACTTTATTAGATATAATTGTAGATGAAAATTTATTGTAGTGTAATTTTTACTGTAGTTGTATTTAGCATGTGCTGTATGTATGAACTTATTTTTTGTATTGCTCTTAAACCAAATGAACATATATTTATTTTTGAGTTTACTTACACAATGTGTACCTAAAACAACACGCTCGTAACTTGCGGCAATTCCGGTTTTGGCCTCCACCGCCTTCTCACTTGTTCCCTTGTAACTTGTAACTCACTTGTAACATTTATATGCTGTGCTTCCTATTTTAACCTGCTATGTTAAATGGGATTCTTGTATTGTGATTTGTGTATTTGTACTCACTGAATTTGTGCGCCCCTTGAGGGACTTGATGTAGAGGGGAGGGGGGGGGGTGGATAGAAATAGCCTAAGCTACTCTATCCCTTTGAGATGTATTGTTTTATTGTCTCAATAAACATACTTGAACTTGAAGTGGACATTGATGTTTTTTCAGCAGCTTTATTTCCATAGTTTCCGAGCTGTTTTCTTTACCGTGTATGTTGTAATAAACTATTCCTATATTTACAGTTGTTTCTCCCTGTGAAGATTATTAAACAATGGTGATTATAAGGGCGCGGAAGTTCAGCCTGGCCAGGGCCGCCAGCAGCCTTTGGGCCCGCCCCGGCAGCTCCCAGTCTTTAATTTGGCACCTTTGTGGCACCTTTGTGGGACCTTGGTATAAGCCTAACATGTATATATACACACTGGCTGCCTGTCCCCCCTTCACAATGATTTATTATTACCTATTATTTTATCGTTTAATTTAAATATTAAATAAAATAATTTATTTAATTATTATAGTAAGTACTTAATAATTTAATAATAAGTAGTAAGTACTTAATAATTTAATAATAAGTGGTATGTACATAAAAATGATTAAAAAGTACAGTTTAGTCATAGGAGATTCCTAGATTGGAATTCACTACCAAATTTCGATATACTCAAGTATTTTTAGTGTGAAATACTGTTATTATATGCATAAATTGTTGTTTTAATAATATTACGCTTAACCACTTGGGCTGAACGGTAGAGCGACGGTCTCGTTTCCTAGAGGTTCGCGTTCAATCCCCGACCGCCCAAGAGGTTGGGCACCATTCCTTTCCCCCGTTCCATCCTAAATCCGTATTCTGAGCCCTTCCGAGTGTTATATAGTCGTAATGGCTTGGCGCTTTCACTTGATAGTTCCCCCACCCCCTTGAATAATATTACGAGAGCAGTATTTATGGGCTATTCATCCCCGTGCCACCTCTTGGGTGGCTTAATCTTCATCAATCGAGAGCAGTACGTCCTAACCAGACATTATATGATGATATCCTGAACAGTTGATAAATAAAAGTAATTGCGGAACTCCAGTTATCTAATACTTATCATAAATGGTATAAAACCTTATCATAAGCCAAGGGATTTGTAGATCAGTGTTTAAAAGGGAATTCGGAAGTAATAATAACACAGCTGATGCCATCTGTCGGCAGAAGAGAACACTATCAACTGGCTGGTCAACAGTGGCCATAAGATATGGCCATCTGTTGACATCAAATTACACTTGTAACAAATTACCCTGCAAAATACAACTAACGCCATCTCTGTTTTTTCCAACGCACTATAAATAGCCAAACAGCAACCCATAAGGCGGGTTGTTGTGCTCGGGTAGGAGGTTCCAAGCTCCGCCCACAGATGGTATGGGGTGCATAATAAATGGCACATCATTGGTAGATATTCTTTGTTGACATTCACACTACAGCCAATCACAGGAAGGGATCAGCTAAAGGCTCCGTCCACTTAATAAATCATCTTTATTCCGCACACCATCCTTGCTTATGACATTCTGCTTCAACTTTAATCTATGTAAAAAGTGAAATGTTAGGTATTTAAAAATATTAATATAGTGATAATTAAATACTGCAGGATGTAACGAGTTTTACAGAAACATGGGCTGGCTACCTAACTTGTGACGTTATTATTGGGGGTTGCCTTGACACAAATAATGATACTCTGCTCTGCCCTCTTATTCGAGTAAATTATCCAGTTAGATGGAGATTTCTGTCAGGTGCAAAACAGAAATTGTTGTTCTTTTTCACAACAACCTTGTTGTTGTGCACAAGGACCTATTTCTTAGTTTAAATTTTATTCATTAAAGAGTGTTAGTATTCCTCGCAACAGCCAATCACAGGAAGGTATTTCTGGAAGCTCGGCCTCCTTATGGACTCAGCACATCGCTCTAGCTCATGGCTCGCTGTTTCATCTTTTGTATATACAAACTATGACTTTTTCGATTACTGTTATAATTAATAATATGAGATATAAAAGTTTTTACACAAAATGGCTAAATTCTGCCATTAAATGGACTTTGTCTGGTATACATACAAATATACACCAATTTATTACCATTCATCCATTATTAATTTCAAATGTAATGTATACTGTCTATTTTTTTTCCTCTCGCCATTACTTGTTGCAATATTTGATAGTTGTCTATTTATTTATCGATCTATCTATTATCTTGTATTTATATTTAGAAGTGTCTGTGTTTGGAAGAAAACTCTGCATTGAATTATGACCAATTTATTAAATAATATTATTTAGTATTAATTAATATTTACATTTATTATTAATTACAATTATTTATAGCTTAGTTACTTTCATGTAACTCGCAATCGTACATTCTTAACATTAATAACCCAAATTAGCACATCTTGCCCTGGTACAAAATGGTACAATCTGTACCATTTTCACTTCCCACTTTACCATAGATCTTAATGTCATCTGAAAATTTGATGATTTTGATGATGATTCCATATGCACCATATAAGTACTGTTTAAAATCAGCCACCAATTTCTTAGCCATAGTGAAGACTACTAAACCAGAAGGTATTATAGCATCTCTAGACGTGGAATCCCTATTTACAAACGTCCCTGTAGACCCCACCATCAACTTAATATACAGAATCTACCGTGATAATACTACTCTAAAGCTAGACATTTCATGTGTGTGCTCTATGTATAATTTAAACTATGTCGGTGGTGACAATTATTTTTCAGAAGTCGGCGGGAAGGTTGCCTGCTCGCCTTCTATTTGTAAACATTGTCTGGAGTGCGGCAGGAGACTCCAGACACCTCAGAACTTCTGTGTTAGGGGGGACTCTAGCCACACCATCATAAATAATAGACTTCTTAACAATATACGTCATGATATTCGGGATTCTACATCACGAATAACAGACTGGTGACTCCTTAACCCCTACATCACGAAAGTTTATATTGCTGGTTCTTTACGAAGTTTCCAGCATCTTTATATTACGAAAGTGTCCACTATCACCACATCACGACGCCTCCAATACCTCTACATCACGAAAGTGTCCTCTATCACCACATCACGAAAGTGTCCTCTATCACCACATCACGAAAGTGTCCTCTATCACCACATCACGACGTCTCCAGCACCTCTACATCACGAAAGTCTCCACTATCACCACATCACGACGTCTCCAGCACCTCTACATCACGAAAGTGTCCTCTATCACCACATCACGAAAGTGTCCTCTATCACCACATCACGAAAGTGTCCTCTATCACCACATCACGAAAGTGTCCTCTATCACCACATCACGATGTCTCCAGCACCTCTACATCACGAAAGTCTCCACTATCACCACATCACGACGTCTCCAGCACCTTTACGTTAAGAGTCTCCACTGCTACTATATCACAAAATTTCTAACACATCCACATCATGAAAAAGTCTATCCATTAATCCTACATAACAAAAAAGTGTCCACTGTCACTACATCACGACAAAGTCTCCCAAGTCTACATAAAAAAGTCTCTATAACCCCTACATCACAAAAAGGCATCTTCACCATTGAACAGACTATTCATCCTTGCTGGTGAACAGAGGCCTTTTGAAACATTCAAGACTGTGCCTGCCATCAGGAAGAGAGTTTGTGATTTTCTGTAATAGTATCTTGGCTCTAGTTTGTCACTGAATGCTGTGTCTGCTACCTTCGCCATCAAGCAGCTTGCCATCACCATCAAGCAGGTTGCCATCACTATCTAGCAGGTTGCCATCACCATCAAGCAGGTTGCCATCACTATCTAGCAGGTTGCTATCACCATCTAGCAGGTTGCCATCACTATCTAGCAGGTTGCCATCATCATCAAGCAGGCTGCCATCACCACCAAGCAGATTGTCAACATCTCCCAAGGGATTGTCCGAGCGGCCCACCAGGCTACTGAAAAATACCAGTAAGCTGTGTTTGGGTTGTAAGCATATGATTACGTACAGGATCAGAAGGATGCACAAATTATATTTAAAAATGCTACTTATTAAATTGCTTAAAATTAGATTGATTATATTGATGGATGATAATCCCAGGAGTTGTGCACTGAGTTGTTATTAAGATACATAAAATATTGTTTTCTCTAAGAGCCTAAAAATTTTAAAAGCAGTTATAATGCATCAGGATAGATTGATCAAGTTTTCACAAGTCTACCTCGATACTTATGGTCTTAGTATTCACTATTAACCCCTGCACTGCTCACCCATTTTCGGCAAAAATGTCTTGGTGCAATTCTCAAGGATATATTTTTGTTATTTTTATAATTGTTCAGGTAAAGTTAATGTCAAAATGTTTCCAAAGTCAACTATTTCCATTTCAAAACACAAAGAGTAATGAAAACATTTAAAAGTATTAAAATATAGCCTAATTAAAAAACAAAAAGCACAAATCTCAGAGCGCCTAAAGGCGCTTTGCGCAGTGCAGTGGTTAAAATTAGTATTTGATGGTTACATGATAATATTTCAGCCTGTTGAGATGACTTCAGCAAATGTACTTCAGCTATATGTACTAGCTCTACCTATAAGTCAACCAATCTTTGTAAAAATTTCTTGTATGTATGTACCTTACCTAAATAAACATTTTATTTTATTTTTATTTTTTTTTTAAATATTAATTATTATATTTCAGTTAATACTGTACTAGGTAAGAAAGTGCAGAACACTTCAAAAAACAAATCAGTAAACCCCACGTACTGATATCATGCAGTTGAGTGATATTTTTATTTACCTGCAGATTTGATAGTTGGTGCAGCCTCTATATTTACCATCCACAATATTTTAGTAAGGCTTCAAAGGAATAATACTCAATGAAATGTCTGCATTGTACAGTACAGTTTATTGGCCCTGACAAGGCAAACATAAAAATAATAATTTAAAAAATTGCATTAATACATGCAGTTATGCATGTATGAAGTGGTGAAGTTAAACTTGACATAAATTAACTGCCAATCAGTTGAGAGGCTTTTATTTTGTTAGACATTTTGTTCTACATACACTAATGTTTCTTGGTGTGTTTTGTTAATATATGTTGTCTATAGCATCACTTGTTTCATTATATTTTATATCTTTATTTTGATTAAAAAGTATTTCATTCAGACACAATCCTGTTTTACACTGTGGCTTGTTGAGCTCAAAGCTATTGTTCCTTATATGTGAGGAAGCAGGATGTGTGTATGGAGAGGTTACAGCAATAGAGTTCCATACAAATTTTAGCTTACTATGGAATTTTGTTTTCAGATAAGTGTGTACTTCCAACAATGGCATTAACGCTACTTCCCAACAATGCCATGACATTCACAGAGAACCAGCATGGTACTGCTGTGTTGGAAAAATTACGAAGTCAGCGCGAACTTGTACGGTGCTGTGACGTTATCCTCCATGTGGTGGGCAAGCAGTTCCAGGCTCATCGTTGTGTACTGGCTGCTTGTTCCCCTTACTTTGATTCCATTTTTAAAGGTGATGGGATGGTTCTCTTTTGTATCATGGCTGAATGTGTTGTATATGGAAGTAATACCCTTGCTGCCAGTGCAGTTTTTCATATTAATCTGAAGTTCTTTCCTTCATTGCCTTTCCAGTTTACTATTTCTCGGGAAAGTCAATGTTTACTATAGATACTGTACAGTACACTTGCAGATGTGTATGAGGGCTTTAACTTTTGTAAACGAGCCACAAATTTAAATTCTTTATAGGTTTAACACAGTCATACCTCTGCTTTTCATTTGTTGATTTTGCAATTCAATTGTTAGTACAGTATCAAGTATGTAATTTATAGAATCTTAATTATTTTAATAATAAATTGTTTAATTGCATAAATATTAAGTTTATAAAATTTATAATATTAAAATATATTGGAGGAGATTCAACTGGATTTATTAAACCAATATAAATTCAGCTTTAAAACTGGAAGCCAATCACAATGCATTACTGCATTTGGTCTGAAAATGTCACAGTTACAGTATCTTCATACTGTACTAAAAAGTTAACACTCTATAGTGTTAGAGAATTACTCTGCCAGCTAGCCATTCAAATGTTCCCACCAATACCATGGGGAAGGTTGCCATACCTGACTTCAGTTCTATTTTGCCTTAGAGAGCACCATGGAAAAGAGCTTTCCATATACATTTAAAGCTTTCATTTTGTTTCTAAAATATTCTTAACAAGAGATGTTTAGGAATGCATCACCATGCAAAGCTGGGTTTGTAGCCCATATTGGTGGTTTGTTTACCTTTCATGAATACTAAACAAAATTGTAACCCACTTTTTGTATTTTTCACTTTACATATTTCCGAATGCTTATACTTTTTGTTTTCTCATTAATAATATAGTATGTCCTCATCTACAGCCAGTAAAACTGTCAAGGAACAGCTAACCATCAGCTCGCAGGATCCAGAAGTGTTCCATTGCCTCCTGGCATATATGTACACAGGGACAGTTGTAGTTGACAAAACCAATGTGGCAGAACTTTTGAGGCTGGCCAACAAGCTACTTATTGCCAAATTAAAGGAGCACTGTGCTGAATATCTTGAAAGATACCTGGATTCTACAAACTGTCTCACTGTACGTGACATGGCAACAAAGTAAGAATAATGCTCATTGAGTATAATGCTGTGGTCTCTTATTAACTGTCTATCATGAGGAGAATACAAAGTACTGAAACAGTGTAGAGAAACGCTAAGATAAGAATAGACTATAAGTGAGGGATGTAAGGGATTGTGTGTTATAAATTATATTTTTAAGTAATAATTTAGCAAAAGGGTATCAATGATATATTTTTCTTCATTCCATTTGATTGCATTGTAGTGTTTGATGGCTGAAGACTATCTTCTGTCTTCTAATGTTTTCTTCTTTAATGATGAGTTCATGATGACCAAACCACACGTTTGAAAATGAAGAATCGACGATATTTCGGTCTGTCCTGGACCATTATCACACGACTTGATAATGGTTCAGGACGGACTGCAACGTTGTCGTTTCTTCATTTTCTGACGTGTGGATTTGGTCATCATATCTTCAGCTACGTTATTGTGACTCATTGCATGATGAGTTTGTGACCCCTGAAGTTCATGAGATGTTGTACATGGTTCTTGCATGTGACAAAATCTTGGTTATTGTTACCATCATGGGATCCATACAATTATTACAGATTACACTGTAGATCCCTGTTTGGGTGACCTTATAGTTGTTAGTTTCTGCTTCATATGAGGGTATTAATTGTAATTGATGTTTGTGCACAACACTTGTATTGATTTTGCAGCATAGCACTCGGTTATAGAATTAGCAGTTGATGCTGGGAGAGTTTTCTGCATGCAGAACAAGATTTATTAGTACCTGTTTTTGTGTCTGTGTACACAAAATATGTAATAAGCAAAGACATACATCAAGTGCAGTGAAATAACACCCTTTACATACAGTCACCCACAGCTTGATACCATAAAGTCTTTTGAGGTGAACCATGTCGGCTCAGTCTTCCAGTAATTAGAAATTGATATGAGTTACAGTTCACTTCTAGAGTTTATTGAAAATAAAATGTACTCAAGCAAATAACCCAACTCACTTATGAAAAGAAATTAAAGTGAGAGTAATTTGGTCCATGGTTTACCCTTAACAAATTATGAAGACTTGGGTAAAGAGGGAGGCAGTATAAGACAAGAGTGAAGGTGAGGTGAAAGGTTAACAGAATGTACTCTTTATAATATCAAAACATTTTCTGTGAAAGCACGTGTTTCATGATCTTAAGATCAATGATTAAAATACCGTATTTAAAATTTAGAGGCTACTGTCCATTGAAAGTGACGTTATTGATTAAATAATTCCATCAAAGTTCACAATACACTACAGTAATTTTATTTTTCAGTTATATCTCTTTCTTTCTTTCAGATTTAACTTGGAAGCCTTGGAAAAAACTACTGGAACTTTTATTCAAAGCCATTTATCAGAAATAATTGAGGGTGAAGAAGTTCTTGATCTTTCCCACACCAGATTAGAGGATTTTTTACGGACGCCAGTGAGTATGCTGATCAAGTTGTTCAGAATTACAGTAATAGTAAAAAATATCTATCTTGTTTTAAAATAAAGAGAGAGAAAATATTGCCTCCCAAAATTAAATAATTATATATTTTCCACTAACACTTGTATACTAAAATCTAACCAATCCATAAACTCAAAGTGTTATACTCAAAAACTCAAAGTAAATGTTTAATTTTACATGACAATTTATAAGGAGTACTGCAACTAATCTTTTGAAAAGATAGGATGCTGCTATGAAGAATTTTCTGTTGTGTTGTGTGCTGGCTGTGTAGTGCTGTGTTGATGCCTCTCCTTGCCTCTGAAATGAGGCAATGATGATGTGTAATGCCTTTATCTTTCAAACTTCTACTATACTAAATTATATATATTATATATAAATATATATAAGGATGCTATATTTGTTATTATTGTCACTGTTCAAAATATGCAACTCAAATATCATGTAATTTAACAGAGTTGGCAGCTGCTTGAGGACCAGACTCTGCTGCTGGTGACTCGCTGGGTACACCATTGCCCTAAAAGTCGTGAGCGAAACCTGCGTAGTCTCCTCACCTGGGTACAGTGGTCCCATCTCAACCCACAGACAGCCGTTCGCCTCACTCAAACCCACCCGCTCTACACAAACCCCAGTTCATTACTGGCATTATTCTTTCTCTTAGATGCCCTTAACGAGCATGCTCTGCTACCTGCAGACTTACATGCATCTTTCTCAAAATTGAAAGCAAAATTCTGTCAGGTAAGTACAATATGGTATATCTAGTACCCAAATAATATCAGAAAAAGGTTTTTATGTTTATTCCTCTATTCACTTAATTATTTAGGGCTGCTTTAACTATTGCTTCTATTGTCTCATTTCTGAACATAAAAAAATGATCCCATTAATCTACTTGTAAAGATAGCTTCTTCTCCATTGTTAATACAGTATTGTTTATCATCATAACAATTACTATCTCTTTATTGATCAAGCACTGAATGTAATGAAATTCCTTTTTTATGACAGTCTTTTTAATAGCTCCCTGGTGCTTAAGCGCTAGTGCTGCCAAGCCTTAGGATTGTACGAGATAGATTTGTGTGGTGTTTGTTGGCTGCATCATTGTGGGTGACTTGTGTTTTGTGTGGCATTAATATATTTCCTAATATCTGGTAGCACTAAGACCTTGTTTTGGCCTTATTGCTATCAATGAATTCAAATGATGTCTTGTAAATTCCCTATTCTTCCATTCCAAGAAAATTTTAGTTATCATTTAATATTATTTTAAACCTACTGATTACACATTTTAGGATTGGTAAAATGTTGGAGCAGAGATTAAACTACAATAATATAATTATGAACATAAACATGACAGCTATGTTGTTGATTTGTTTGATCCACCAGTTTACTTTATTATAATGCTTTTGAAAAGTCAGTAATAAAGATATGATTATTTATTCATGTGTTTAATATGTTTATGTACATCAAACTTGCAGTTGAAATTTGTTTTTTCAGTCAACTGACTCTGTTGTTGACAACGAAAGCTTCTTGAGTCTTGCAATTTCTACAGCAATTGATGAACTTCAAGAGGACCCACTTGGCAGTGGAAGAAGTCAGGACTGTGTGCCAGCTATTAGTGACTTTGCAAATCACACTGCCCTAACTCCTCATACCACGCAAGATCTTCTCTTAGATACCCAAGATACAGCTAACTCATCTGCCGTTCACTCTCACCATAAAATTAGTGACTTTCATGTCAGTTCTAGAAGAGGATGTGATGACCAAGATAATGAACAGCATAGCCAGTATGATATGTGTCATATTGGGCATAGCTCCCAAGATGCGTGTCGTATCGGGCATAGCTCCCAAGATGTATGTCGTATTGGACATAATTCTCAAGATGTCCACATTAACCAACCAAATTTAGTTTTTTCTCATCCACCCCCTGTTTCTAATGTTCTTAGCTGCCATGCTCACATTTCTGACGATTCTGTTGGAGACACAACCACAGCAGATGACAAGTTTACATGCAATAGCCAAGGGCATTTTGGGCAGTCTTTCATGCGGAACACAACTGTCTGGCACCAAGAGCCTTACGGTGCCGAAGAGTCCCTTTCATCCGATTCAAGTCACATGTACCAAAGACAAGTTTATGATCAAAACTTCAGTATTAAAGTTCCTAGTTCAGATTCATACAATTCAAGGGTTAATCCTTCTAGTGGTTATTCTATGAGAGAAAGTCCTATTAAGAACAAACAAAGTTTTGCAAGTGCTGTGTCTTATTATGTTAGCACATACAATCCGGAAGACGATATGACTGTCTCAGATGACCAGAGTACGCAGTCATTTCCCTATGATGAGAATTTTAATCCTGGAATTAGTTTTTACCCTTGTAGACCAACTGATGGTAAAGATGCCCAACATATAATTATTGAGTCACATCATAATCAAGAAAATTATGCCAAATCATATTACCATGATGAATCAACAAACACTGAGGACATAAACCACAATCAACGTGATCTGTATTACAATGATAACTCGACTGATACTCAAATGTCTAATTGTCCACAAGACATGACTGTTCAACACCAGTTCTCCCAGTGCTCGGACATGAAACGCAGTTTGTCTCAAAATCCAGACATATCTGCGGTGGAAGACGCAACAAATATTTCACTAAATAATGGTATATCAGAGAGACTTATAGTTGAAGAGGCACATTATGAGCACTACCCTTTAAAAAATAACACAGTAGATAAATTTCACAGAGATATGAGCAGGTTGGGGGAGAATTCCATGTTAGCTTTGGGATCCAGAGATATAGTTAAACAAGAATTGCTATTAGATGGAAAGAGATTGACCTCCGAGTGTGGTTTAGAGACAAAGGGGGTTTTCACTCTTGTTGGAGTAGCTATAGATGAGAATTGCGCTTACAAAGGATGCCCTTCAGAGTCTGAGGATGGAAATCACATGTACAAGGGATGTGGCTCAGATTTAAGAAGCATATTAACAGAAAATAAATTATCAATGGAAAATCCAGAGAATCTTCAAGATAATATATCCAAAGCTCCCTTGCCAGAAGGATTACACCCCCCTGTGGTTCCAGCTATAGATAACACACCACGACAGGTCAAGTTTAAAATCAACCGCAGCATTAATCCCTGCACAGGTTTGTTATGTTATTTTGTGTTAGGAGTGTAGTGTAGAAATCAAATGGATTTAATATACAGGTACTGTAAAAAAGAATATAGGAAAAGGCTTACTTGAATGCAGAAGTTGGAGGACAATCTTTTCATAATAAATCATTCTAAAGCAAATTTAATTTGCAGTACTGTACTGTATTAAAAACTATCATACAGAGTAAATTTTAAGATAGCAATTATCCATCTACTTTTTCACATCTTACATATTGTTTACACAATTCAGTAATTTCATTCTTCTACTGTATTGGCAAACTATCTCATTCTAAGTAAAATACAGTGCAGCGGAACTCAGTTCAAATGGATTTCACTTTTATGGACCTCGAGACCGTCTAGAACAAATTTGATCATATTGGGAACTATTTTTGTTTCAAGAGTAGAGTTGTGTTGAGAATGTATTCCAAAAAATTATTCTGCACAAGTTTAGAATAATTGTTTGTTGCTTCCAGTTTAAGAGTTTGAGATTAATTTGTATGTATTGGAGAACAAAAGTTAATCATAATAATAGCAGAAATTGGACAAGAAAAATAGTGCCCTACATATTATCTCCAGTACAGTACTGTATTTAAATAAACTAAATACCAAATTCAATAGATGTACTTCAATACAAAAGGCATTCCCAGAACATTTATTGTTGTCCAATTTGCTCTTGTTCCATCCAGCCTTGATTTGCCATAAAAGAAAAAGTATTTAAGTATATGAAACATAAATACTGTACATGAATACCTGTGAATGAAAAACACTAACGTATTTAAAAACAATTTGTAAACCTATATAAAGAGTTGCAAATAGCCTATGTACAAAAATTTATTCTAATGAAATTGCAGCCATCATGTATGACAGGGTAAATGAGATGTTATTGGTTAATTGACATTTAATCATTTGCCTCTCCTATCCTCCTTAAACAATATCATAGCTTACATGTACCACCCACAGAGCAACTGTCAAACACTAGTCAAGAAACAATAGTTACATCTGAGACCTCTCTCCCTGGTAATGTTGCTGTCACTAACTTCATTGATATGCCGCACCTGGAAACTGACGACCTCAACCCGGATGACCCATCTGAAATGCTTCAAGACAATTTAATAGACAGCTCTCAAAGAGAGGCCATGGAGCAAGAGGCTGGTGAAAAGTTGAAAATTATTGAATGCGAAGATAAGGTGCTAAATAAAGACAAAGGAAGCAATGAAGAAAGGGAAACTGCAACAACTGTAAACAATGAGCCACTGCGAAGAACTTGTAGAAGAGTGAAGTTGACAGAAAAAGGAAAAGGTAAGAAGCCAAATCTAATGAGTTTCCTATATACTTATTATTTTTGTTTCAAAGTTAGAAAAGGATGCACTGCCCTCCTATCTAACCTTATAATAATAATACTAGAATTACAATTATCCTGCTCTGATTCTCCTATTTAATTCCACTAATCCTGCACTGAATTACAGCATGTCGCACCAGGCTGTTGGCTTTGGACCTAAATCCTATCATATCCACCAATCATATTGATCTTAATCTGAATCCTCCTAATCTTATTCTTCTCTATAATAATCCTATGCTTCCTCTTAAGGAATTCATGTATAATTGAATACAGTTCTCATATCAGTTATATTTTAGTTAAATTTATTGTCTCTTGAAAACATTTCAAAGGTGTCATTTTCTTGCTCTTTGTAACAGAAGTCATCAAGACAAGCTGTGCTACGTCAGAGAGAGTCTGTGAACTGTGTCAAGCATCGTTTCCTCGTACTAAAGAATACTTTGTGCATATGCGGGAACATTTTCCAGGTCCACCACACTGCTGTGACATCTGTGAGTATAGACACCTGTGAGCCATCAAGTTGTCAATGTGACATCCTTTTTCATGAGTGACTTAATTGTTAATTAATGGATATGGATCACATGTCAACAAAACAAACTTATTTGAAGCTCAATTTAAAATCTTAAAAAATCCCACATCATAATCATTATTAGGCGATGAGTCACAATAACGTGGCTAAAGTATGTTGACCAGACCACACACTAGAAGGTGAAGGGACGACGACGTTTCGGTCCGTCCTGCACCATTCTCAAGTCGATTGAGAAGGGACGTCATCGTCCCTTCACCTTCTAGTGTGTGGTCTGGTCAACATACTCATTATTACTATTATCATCATCATCCTTATCATTCTTTTGCAGGTGATGCATCTTTCAAGCGCATTTACCACCTGCTGGACCACCGAGTCATTCACCAGGAAACCAAAACCCACAAGTGTCCACACTGCTCATTTAGTTCACACAAGAAGTTCAATTTGACTGAACACTTAACCCAACATTCTAAAATTAGGAAATACAAATGTAAGTGTTATTGAGTACTGTATATTATTTATTTTTAACTCTAGGGTATTGAAGGATAATAAATTACCACTGAAAATTAAGAGAATTTGGAAAAAAAATTAATAAAAAGTTATCACTTCTGCAGAACTCAACATGGTTGAACATAATGGAATTAATACAAAACGGTACATAGCAATTTGTGAAAAATCAATTAAGATTAAATTGCATGTGTTTTTGACACAAATATAGCATACATTAGTGTAAATGTTTCAACAAACAACAAAATAGTACAATTTATAGATAAGTATGCATTTCAACATGTTTCAATCTTTGTTGATTTTTTAAGATTTTTTCTTTGGAACCTTGTAGGCAAGATCTGTGGGGATCTCTTCACTCGAATACAAAAATTACGAGTACACGAAACTAAGCACACTACAGAGCGTCCATTCTTATGTGAAACGTGTGGATGGTCAGGAAAAACTAAAAATGCTCTCATAGTTCACACAAAGTTTCATACAGGTAAGTAGGTTTCATTTACAGTGCATTATTCATTAGCTTAGTCATTACAGGATTAACATTGCAGTACTGTACACCAGATAATCTGGTTTGGTGCCAAATTTCTGTATTGCTTTGCAGATACTGTACCTGTATGTTATTTGGCTACCATACAAGCAAAATTAAATTACAGAAAGCTTTTGGGAGCAAACTATATGAGCAAATTACAGCAAACTGATTAGAACAAACTATATGAGCAAATCTAGTTCATTCTGTCAGGTATTTATTTCTTTTGGATCGAGTACCTGTGCTTTAATAAATATGTTAATTTTACAGGTTCTGAATACTGTATTTTTAACATTGTGATTTTTATTTGATTAGGTTAATTGTCTTATCTATAGATATACCGAAGTCCTAGTATGAAAATAGTTTTTCCTAAATAAATGATTGTAGTAGAGTACTGTATTATATTTAAAATCACTGTTCACCCAGTCTTCTTGTACAAAATGGTTTATCATTAGTGACCGATTTTTCTTACCTCTTCCCATGCCGCCTTCACTAACACAAGGTGAGCTGCTCAGATGCCAGTTCCCAAAGTGCACTTATGCAACTGCTAAGAAGTCTCACCTCAAGGAACACATGCAGCACCACTCCAACAGCCGCCAGTTTACTTGTGATGTCTGTAGTCACAGTTTCATCACTAACAGTCATCTTCGAAGGCACCTGATGTTACACCTTCCAGAGAAGCCTTTAAAGTGTCCACAATGTGATTACTGTTCACTAAGGCAGGACCGTTTAAAGGTAATACAGTATTAGTTATGTTCATTAATGCTTCATATTCACCCATGGGGTTATAAACCCATGAAACTGCCTACCTGCCAAAGCCATAACTGCCAAAACACTGTTAAATGTTAAAATCTAGCTTGAAAATATCATCAGGACAAATGGGGAGGGGGGTCTTTGACAAGCCTGCAGCTTCCTGTCCTCATCAAGGCCACTAGTGTTAGTGGCCTTTGGGTAAGTTCAGATAAATCTTCTTGCAATTCATGGAGACCTAAATTTCTTTTGCACTTTATTTTGTATAATGTCAAAATTCATGTATGTACTGTGATTATTGTGCATTGTTGTATTATTTTCAGTATTTGTGCATTCTAAGTACAGTATTGTTATCCTAGTAACTGCTGGTGCTCTTCACTCTTATTACTTTTAAAACTATTTTCCCTATTATGATTTACTGTATGTCAATTCCTTCCTTATGAATGTATCTGTTTATTTATCTTTAAAATCATAATGTCATTTGTCAGAATAATAGAAGAGTTCGTTCATTGCCACAGGAACACAGACGGTGAATGTCTGTTTTGTTTTTCTTAGCATAAGCTGAATAAGCTGAGCATAAATTATTTAGTTTTAGTTTCTTCTAAGGTGGGTTTCATTAAAATATATTTAGGAGTGAAGTATAATTAATAGTCATAGTATTTACATTGAATTTACTTTGAGATACTGCACTCTATTACAGTAATATGACTGAACAATGTTAAATGTTTAGGTTAATTGTGTATTGTCAATATTTTGTTTCCAACTAACACAATTGCTTTAATTTTTTTTAGATTCACATAAAGAACAAACACACTAAGAAGGAATTAGCCAAAACATCAACACGTAAGCGGCAAAGCAAAAAGAAATGTTTGGATGTTGCCGGTGCCAACAAAACTTCCACAGAGGTTGCAAATGTCATTTCACCACATATTGAGTGTTCACAGGTAAGTGTTTTATTATTCATGAAGTGTTGTATAAATGCATTATCTAGCCCATCTCTGTAAAGATTATTAGGTGAACAATATTATAAAATAATTTTTGTATTGTAACTATGTTGAGATTTCAATTTTAAATTTTGTTCTTTAGAGACACATTTTTATCTTTTAAAAACTATTGTTTATGGGCACTAGGTGTACGCTGTTTAGTGAATGTTCCTGTGTTCGTGGTTAAACAGTTCTTTGTACTGTATTTTCTTTATTTTTAAACCACCCGGCATAACATAGCTGTCTATCGTGTGCTAGTTCAGTTCTTGCACCAGCTTTGGTCATTCGTTTCTTCAGATTGACCCTTGCTTTTGCAGCTTCTTAGTACTTGGTTTTGTAAACCCCATTTCTTCGCTACATAAACTCATATCCCCAATTGTTCATTCCATAAACCCGTATTCTCATTTAAAATGGAAAGATTATCAGGCATTAGAAAATTTCCAAAACTCTCTCTCTTTTACATTTGCATTGTTGGAAAAACTTGCTACAATGCCATAGTTCTTGAATGAAGGTGAAGGAAAATTCCAATATATGTGTGAGTGTATTAAAACCAAATTTTCAGATGCAGTCTACATCCTTTCTCAAGGTACTGTAAACAGTGTTAGCAGAACATTGTTTTCAGTACCTTGAGAAAGGATGTAGGTTGCATCCGAGAATTTGGTTTTAATACATTTACACATACAGTATATTGGGTCTTTCCTTCACCTTCATTTACTGTATATTGGTTGTAATATTTTACTTACTGATATATTTTTGTGAACACTAACTCTCATTAGCTCCATTAGTCAAACTTTTTACTGTTTTTTATTTGTCTATGCAGATTCATATTCCTGGTGGGAAAATTTACCACATGTTAATTAAAAGAAAAGTAAGCTATTTATATTATAGTACAGTACAGTATTTGAGTTTATTATTTATTTTTGCATTTTCTTCCCCACAGGCAGACATATTTTCAGACCTGGAGAATACGAATGTCTCTCTTGAGCCACAGTTGCCAGGTACTCCTCCTCCAACTACACTGTCCGAGTACCCACCAAGTCCAACATACACCTTCCAGACTCAGTCGGCTCCAGATGACCCACTTATGATTGTTCCTGATATGAGCTCTGTCACTCAGGGATTCACCCCTCTCCCTCAAGCCTCTCCGCTTCACCGTGACCTTGGGCCAAGCCTCAATTATGATGGGAGTTACCATAGTCCGCAGTACCAGACATCTTCACACTTCGCACCACTCTCCCCTACACATGCCACATTGTCATACACAAATGGACATCACCATGAAGAGAGTCCCTTAAATTTTGCTGCTTATATGAAATATGAATGAAAGGAGTTGCTGTAAATAATTTTAAAAACCAAATAATCTCTCAGTATTCAATTTAACTAATAAATGTTAAATATTTTGTAACAATGCAGAGCCTGGGTCCATCCAGAACACTGCCAACACTGCAGGCTCTAATTAACTGTAATCCCCACTGTAACACAGACTTTTGCAAATGGTCTTCCACATAGTTTATGAGTGAGAAGGAAATGGTTCCTCATTCCATCACTAAATGACCTAATGTTGTATACAGTGCTTGCTGCCTTCTAGTGGCAGCAGGAAGTAAAGGTTAGTGGTACTAACTAATGCAGTAGTTAACAAAGTGATAATTGGCATTCTTTGCTAATCAAAACCTCACTTGCAGCAGAATAGTTTCTTAATAATTTTTTTGTCTTATAGCAAGCATTTGTTCAGTGGTAGATTGAGAAATCCCAATGGTTTCCATTTCCTAAGTTATGTAACAAAAGCATTTGCAAGGATACTTGTTATGGTGGGGGTAAATCAACAAAGCCTGGCTTATCTGACACTGAACTGGGTAGACCATTGACTCTGGCTCAGGGAGCAATTGAGTAGCCTCAGCACGATCTGGCTATTTTCCCAAACTGTAGAATCATCTACATGGAAATTACTCTGTGGAGAATGCAAAGGTGGTTGGTGGATATGTGAGTAAATTCTTAAGTAAAGTAAGCTGTTGTTCCAGGAAGAAATCATACTGCTCCAGAATGAGACTGCACAATGCGTCACATACTGTACCCTTTTAACAACTCGTCAGGTATGATTTCAACACCTGTTTACACTTCTCACTAACCCAGGCTGTGATGTAGTATATAGCTCCAAGATGTATTCTTCTGATAGATGTGTTGAAGCCTTAGGATAATTGAAAGTTGCAGGTAAAAAAGGGGAGGAGACTATATGAAAATATTTAATGTGTTTTCCGCATATGAGGCCCAGAACTTATTTTAGCCTTCTGAAAACCCCCCAAAATCATACCAGTCATCTAGCAGCAAGAACAATTTGTCTTTGTTGCTCATTCTGATGATTCATTTGTAATGAAAATATCCATAGTTCATTTCCAAAGATTGAGGTTTGTAATTTATGTCAATCAAGATGTAAAATTTTACTATTAGTATAAATTAAACAGAAGTTGATTCAGTTGTAAAAAAAAAGAAACTTGGTAAGACTTATGATACATGTTATGGGAGCATCAGCAAACCATGCTGTTACTGTACCTGACGTTATTCTTAGTGTACTTGTACAGCTATTGTTTATATGTAAACTATTATTTATATTTACTATTTTCAATGTGCCAAAGCTAACCTATTCTCTATGGCTGTGATCATTTTTATACCAAAATTTGTATTATTACATACACATACATACATATATACATACATACATATACACACATATACACACACACACACACACGTACGTCACCAGTGGAGTCCCACAGGGTTCAGTCCTTGGACCCATACTGTTTCTGATATATGTAAATGATCTACCAGAGGGTATAGAATCATTCCTCTCATTGTTTGCTGATGATGCAAAAATTATGAGGAAGATTAAGACAGAGGAAGATAATATGAGGCTACAAGATGACCTAGACAGACTGAATGAATGGTTCAATAAATGGCTACTAAAATTCAACTTGAGTAAATGTAAGGTAATGAAACTAGGCAGTGGAAACAGGAGGCCAGACACAAGATACAGAATGGGAGATGAAGTCCTTCAGGAAATGGACAGAGAGAAAGATCTAGGAAAATGATATCACACCAAACTTGTCACCTGAAGCCCACATCAAAAGAATAACATCTGCGGCGTATGCGAGGCTGGCTAACATCAGAACTGCCCTCAGGAACCTGTGTAAGGAATCATTCAGAACCTTGTATGTAAGAACAATCCTGGAGTATGCGACCCCAGCATGGAGCTCGTACCTTGTTAAGCACAAGGTGAAGCTTGAAAAAGTTCAGAGGTATGCCACTAGGCTAGTCCCAGAACTAAGAGGCATGAGTTACGAGAAAAGGCTGCGTGAAATACCACTCACAATACTGGAAGACAGAAGAGTAAGAGGAGACATGATCACTACCCACAAAATTCTCAGAGGAATTGACAGGGTAGATTAAGATAAACTGTTTAACACGAGTGGTATGCGAACAAGGGGACACAGGTGGAAACTGAGTACCCAAATGAGCCACAGGGACGTTAGAAAATAACTTTTTCAGTGTCAGGGCAGTTAACAGATGGACTGCACTAGACAGTGATGTGGTGGAGGCTGACTCCATACAGTTACAAATGTAGATATGATAGAGCCCAGTAGGCTCTAGGAATCTGTACACCAGTTGAGAGGCGGGACCAAAGAGCCAGAGCTCAATCCCAGCAAGCACTACTAGGTGAGTACACACAACACAATAGACAAAATAGACCAGAATTCTTGAAACATCCAACTTCAAGAACAAGATGTCATAGATTCAAGCTAAGGAAACAAAGATGCCAAATTTTTTTAGAAAGCTCTCTTTTGCAAATAGAATGATAGACTGTTTAAAGAAGCTTAATGGGAAAGCTCACCATAGCCCGTGCTACTTGGAACTTTTTGTTCCAGGTAGCAAATCTTAAACAACAACAACAGTGGATGCCAAAACTGTCAGTACAGTAGTTTCAAAGTGTTATATGACAGAGAACTGGGAAGGTGGAACACCATGAGCATAGCTCTCTTCCTGTGACTACACTTGGGTGTAAACACAAACCTATACACACACACATACACACACCTACAACCAACTTTCACATATACAAATCCACATGCTTACATTTATTAGATGGTAATCATGACCCCATGTAGTACCATTATATATTTTGTCTTAGCGACGCAGGATGTTTTATCATAATATAATACTGAATAATTCAGGAGAAGTGTTGTACTGTACCTGTGTCCTCCTGTTGTCTTTATGGTTCCTTGCATTTCTCATGAAGTGCTGAATTTACTCCATAACTTTTACTTTTGATTCCATAGGTGCATACTATATAAATACAAAGTTAATTTGTTGAATTAAAAGCGTGTATGTGTATGTAAAGCATTTTGAGTAGATAATTATATGTACATACTGTACAGTATTAATATTTATATATAAATTGTTTACAAAAATACGATAAAAATTCACCAATGCAAATAAATCGCACTTAAATGCATCACTAGAAGACTGGTAGAGGACAGACAACAAATGGTCTAGCACTATAATATAAAGTGATACAGTATTTAAATTAAGGAAAGAAAATGAAAATTATTGATTTATGTGATGTGATGTAGATCATTTTATTTATGTGATGAAATGTTGATTCCTTAACTTATCGAGTTTTTTTCCAAACTTAAATTTTCTCTTTGATTGTCTCAATTTGTAAGGCATGGTCACCAATGGTAAGCCAGTATAATAAATAAATCTATTGGGTTAAACAGACACAAATGCCAGAAGTCTAACCAGAAATTGTACGACTCAAAATGAAAAATTTGGGTTTCCTATGATTTTCTATAATTCTTACAAAACTTTAAGAAATGCTGAATGACAGAAAAGTAAACACTTATAGGTGCATTATGGGCCGAACATCAAAATTTGGGTACCCATGACACTAGTATTCGATAACATGACTTCAGCAAAGTCATATTATCGAACACAAGTGCCGTGGGTACTCAAGTTTTGAAGTTCAGCCACCAAAATCAACTTTCTCCAAATTAATTGAAAAGCCACCAAATCAAACTTGCCAAACCAATTACAGTATATTACTGTAGAAATGTTGCTTAATACTGTAGTAATGAAAGGTGTAGTAATAACTTGTACAGTTAAGGATTGGCGCCCAGTAAATCCTCCTCGGCCAGGATACGAACCGAGGCCAAAGCGCTCGCGAAATGCCAGGCGAGTGTATTACCACCACGCCACAGGAACTCTATAAAAACAATATATGGAATAGATGGATCAATCTACAGTATGATAAAATATTGTCACAATATTATACTGTACAACAATGAAATCAATCTTAATAATAAAATTTTATTCCAATTTTTAATGTCATTATTACAACAAAAGTTGGCCCATATGAAATATATTTAACATTTAATTAAGGAAAAGTTCTCATCGCCAAAATTTGGTATAGTAATGTTTTATTACAAATGTTAATATCCGTAACAATATCAGTAACTTCAAAAAGCCAATACTGTACCTAGAAAAAAAAGAAGCTTCAATGTACAGTACTGTATTCTCTAACAATCTCATGCATCATGTACACAATAACCTCACCCAAACATAATATTTACTTAGACACCCAATCCCACATTGGAAAATAAAAGAAGTGACGTTTCGGTCCATCCTGGATCATTAATAAAGTTGTTTAACGAGGTGATAATGGTCCAGGAGGGACTGAAACGTCACTTCATTTATTTTCGGATAAGTGGGTTGGATGTCTAATTTTCAACCAAATTGTTGTGACTTACTGTCTGCAATATTACAGTACTTTGTTAATACATAAATAATAATGTAGAGAATTAAGGTACAGTATATTGAAAATAATAACTCGGTTCACACCTACAGATTTGACCATCTAAAATTAGAATAAGCCAGTTAAATAGCTTTCTACACTATACTAAATTCATAGTGCATTAATCTGACTTCTCAAATCAAAAGTAACATAGAAATGTAAATAATAGATGTATTTGCAATGTAACCATTCTGTTACAATCTGCACTCTTCTGTACCCGATTATTGTCACAATTACGGGTTAAGAAAGGTGAATTAGCTACCAAGTGAATAGTGGAAGATAACATACATCATTGATGGGTATCATAACACCACCTGGGCAATACCAAGATATTTATACGTAACAATCTTAAACAAAATATTATAATTGTGCACTTACTGATTCCTTGTTGAAAATGAAAATAGAAAACTACTATATACGCCAATGCTGTAATATAATAATATTGAAAGTAATAAATCATATTCAAATTAATGTCACTGTCAATAATAATGACAACACTATATAATCATGGCTTCTCAAAATCGTGCAAAAAATAGGCAAAAAAATCTTGTTTAGCATCCTCATTAGGAGATAAAGGTCGGATGTGGCTGAGGCTGTGTTCCTCGAGTTGGGCGTGTTCCGGGAACCTTTGCCTACATGTGGGGCACCTGAAGGCTGCCAGGCCCAGGTGAAGCTCATAGTGCCGCAGAAGGGCACTCTCATCCACGAAGTCGCGGTCACAGTGACCACAGACGTGGTAATCGTTCTGGACGGGCTCCTGGGCGCAGCTGCTGCACTCAACCTTTTCCTTCGCCGATGATAAGCTGTCCACAGTGGTAATTATAAGGATTCTCTTTCCGCAGCGGAAGCAGCTCTTGTTGATTGAACCAGACTGCTGAGGAGAATTTGAGCCTATGAAGGTGACGCTGTGGGGGCCATAGTGTCTTGTCATGCTACAAGACTGGTAATTTCCAAAGTTTACCTGTCTAGACACTTTGGGACGAACACCAAGACTACTATCTTCGTTGTCTTGAACAGTATTTAATGACATACTCATTTCTTCTCTTCTGGTGTCTAACTTTTCAAGGCCACATTTACGGGTGTTGGACTTAATGAGATCATCTTTACTGTCTTCTGACACACGGGGACTTCCTCTACTGTTTTTAGGCACACCAAGATTATCAATACCACTGCCAGGCTCTTGAAGACGACTACCTTTCCTGAGACTACTTTCTTTGTCATCTTGGACAACATTTTCTTTCTTTTTAATCATTTTGGGACGAGCACTGGGACCGCTCGCTTTGTCTTGAACAATATTTGTTTTCTTCACATTTTTATTCTTTATTTTATTCACATGGTGGCAGCTTCGTAAATCATATCTTTGCTTCATTTGCAATCGTAACTGGCGCCTTTGTTCTCGTCGCTCTTCTGGCCTCGTATTTCTTTGGTGTTCATTCTCTGAGATAGAAGCAGATTCTTGGCTTAGAATTGACATTGCTTTACTTTCCTTCCGTAAGTGGAGTAATTGGCGTCGCTTTGGACGCTTACGCGAATTGACCATCTCTGTCCTTTTATAGCTGTTGCCGCCAGCTATATCCGCCAACAGTGTGGCAAGAGATGGAGTTCTAATCTTGCTTCGCAGTGTCGGATGCTAGGGAGAATCTGCCAGCGGCTGTTGACAGGTTGCAGACTGAGTACCCGAATATCAGCTGTAGAAAAAAATAGTGCGTGGAACTTTGAACAGATGACAAAATGTGAATACGTGAAATAACTAATGAAATGGGAACTAAAAGGCAAGTAATAATTAATGTCGGGGAACAGGCAGCCAGCGTATGTAATTTTAATAATCAATAATAATTAAGGTCGAACTACCGACCCTCCCAAGATGCAACCACAAAACAAGCTGACTTGTGGGCATTAGGTGATAGGAAACACGCCCAACCATTTCTGTCCCGCCTGGGATTCGAATTCCAAATTGTGAGTCGAGAACAAACCTGAGTAAATGAGAATAATGAGTACAGGGATTACAATGAGTTGAGAAGGTATAATGAACTCGGAAAAAGCAATGCTCGTATACGAGGTTATAATAACTATATTGATTATAATGAATGGACAGCACAACAATTTCAGTTAGTATGAAGATAGGGAGTAAAATGAGTTCAGGTAACATTAGTTAATAATAATAATAATAATTTTATTTACAAGACGGTACAATGGGTTTGTGAGATTACATAAGATTGGTATTTTTACATTCTTGCAAAGCCTCTTGCATAACGTTTCGGGCAGAATAAGATTCAATACATGGATACAATACAATAAGATACAGTTCATGGAATATAATAAGTTCTGGGTGTATAAGTTTATAAGTTTACCGGGAAATGAATTCAGGAAGTATCCAAACATATACACACACAGATTGACAAATATCCCTCATACCAGGAACGGATGAGGACTACAGGATTAGTTCTGTGGCCCTCAACCGTTCCTGGTATGAAAGATGATTTTTGCTAACCAAACATGACAGGACTCGTCGAAACTTATATGGTTTCTTATAAACTTATACTGAACACGATGGAGCCAGAAAACTATATGGTGCTCACAATGTTCAACCTCCTCGTTGGCTAGTTGAACCTAGCCATTTATGATCAAGTTCTACTCCAGTGTTAATGTCTGGCTCTAGAGGATCATGAAGAGGTCCTACTCAAGTGTCAATGGCTCTAGAGGATCATGAAGAGGTCCTACTGCAGTGTCAATGGCTCTAGAGGATCATGAAGAGGTCCTACTGCAGTGTCAATGGCTCTAGAGGATCATGAAGAGGTCCTACTCCAGTGTCAATGGCTCTAGAGGATCAGGATTATGACTTGATCCTTACTGCAGTGACTGCGTCTGGTGCTTGAGGATCATGATTAGAGCTATGTCTTACTTCAATATCTGCCTGACCATCCAGCAGCATGGCTCTTGAACCTTTTGTTAATCTGACCCTCGAGCATTACTCTACTTAGTACAAAAAAATATATATACATTAGTTAGGATAAATAAAAGCCCACCATGTGTTTACTAGCAGCGTGCGTTGTTTTTACTCACTACTCTCATACAGTTACTCAACTTATCCATCTGTCGTGTTGTCTTGAAAGTTACAGGTGTTGTAGCAGGCACCAAACTACTTACCAATACTTGTCTTACAATTTAGAGACAATTAACGGTATGGAGAAGTCCTTCCTCCCACCGGCGTCAAGTTGTCGTCGTCGCCTTCAGCCCCAACTAATATATTACAAGACGGTGCAAACAATTGCAAGGTATTATCTTAGAAAATGTGACTGGCAAGACTTGCCATAACTGGAATGGGTGGAAAAACACAATTGTAATTATAGTATTATTCACGAAACTTTGGCTACTGGATTAGTTGGTGTTATTTAATGTTAATTGCCAGTGTTGTTGAGGTGTTCTTGCAGGTATTGTTTTTCTCTTATATTTAAAACACAGTAATATAATATACACATACATTCCGTTTCTATTCGTGAAAACTTCGAATTTCCACAAAGAAACATACATATATACAATATGTACATAAAATAAAACACAATAATACAATATGTGCATACAAACAGCTAGTGTGGGATTACACATGTGTATCCGCCTCTCGTTATAATAATAGTAATAATATTAATACTAATACTAATAATAATAATAGTAATAGTAATAATAATTATAACATTTTATAACAGAATGGGCTAAATATTTGAGCAGGCGGGAAGGGCCGGGGTCGGGGGGTGACGGGAGGCGAGTGAGAACAACAGTAGCTCGGCCATCTTGGGGAGAGTGGGAAGCTGTGATCAGGCGCCTTGCTGGGTATTACACACAACTACCGCCTCACCTTATCTATATCCTCACTTGTCATCCAGGTGAGGTGCTCTCTATGGTCTGGTTGTCAGGGAGGAGTGGTGAGGTTAAACATAGTGTGTGTGCGGGTAGTATGGCAGGAATGGTGTGTGGGGCCTCTGCCACACTTAACGTGATGACATTTGGTTGGGGCACAGGCACAGCTCTCTGGAAGTTAGTATAGTGTAGTTAGTTAAGGAAGTGTGTGTGTGGGTGGTGCCCTTGGTGTTGGCTCACCTGTGAGAGGCGTTACATCCCAGCAGTAAGGTTTACTACAATATTTGGGGTATGGTCCTACCTTGGTCCTACCTATGGTCAGTCGTGCACGAGAGGCTTCGACAGTGCTCGTTTTAGGATTGTCATAACCGTACATATTGTTAACTTGGTTTGGGTAAGATTAGATAGGTTTTAAAAACTATTGGCAAACTATTTTGTGTACAATGTGACTTCTGTATGAAAAAGTCATGTTACTAATCTAATTGTGTCATGAATGGGTTTCTCTTAAAGTAATACAAAAACCATGGGGGCAACATTTTAGCATGCCTTTTCCTGGTTCACAAAAATGTATTCTAATTCCCATCCTTTAAAAGCAACAAACATATCTGACAAATTCAACCTTTTTAGTACTGCTAGTGCTATATAATAATAATTTTGTTGTAAACATATATACATACTGTACTGAGGAAGGACAGTAGTTGGAAGCAACAGAAGACTGCTTGTAGAGGCACTAGCATAAACTGACCTAACCAAGGGAAACATAGTTGATTTGTTAGGCAAATTATAGTTTTGAGACTTGCAAAGAACAATCTTTATTTCTGTTTACTAGAACATAGTGCAGTCTGTAGTCAAGTAATGTGCAACCCTAGTGTGTCCCTGCTTATAAAACTGGTATGTGGGTTTGGACGCTGCATCCCAGGGATGTCGGACACACATCGGGTACCTTAATATTTATTGGCTCACTATGAGACTTGCCGAGTGTTTAGCTCTAATATTATTAGACATGGTACCAGGTTGTCAATATTATATAGTGGGATTTTAATATTGTTTGGTAATATTTATGCCCCTTGTATCCAGACACTTATTGTTTGGACACCCATATTTACTGGGTCATTTCTTGTGAACCACTCCTTAAGATCTGATATTAACCCTTAAATGCTTCAGCTAATTAAGAATCTTATATTGTGGTGTACATGAAAAGAAATAGTTCACAATACTAATACAAAATTTAATTTGGTGATTCACTCTCAGGAGGTAATCTCAAAAAGGAATTTGTCATTTAAGGATTAATAGAAGAATCAAAGATGAGTTTGACATGCATTGCTGACATTTTTCAGTTCATTTAGAGATGATTGGTTTTGGTGTCCTGATGCTGAGAATGGGCTGATTTTGGTGCTGCAGTGCAGGCACTTTGTTTATATATTTTTGAAATAGCTATACCTGTATACTGAATCATGGACAAAATAAAATTATATTGTTTAATAGAAACCTTTTTAAGAATAGATACCTTTTATGCTTCAATGTTTTTTAGCATTGAAAAGCTTGTGGCAGTACTATAGGTCCTTTCAGTGCTGATGCTGAGTAACTGCCGACCATCCGAATATGAGCTACTTTACACCATGTAAATGTCAGCAATTCCTCCTTTTGGCTACAAATTTGCAACTGAAACGTACGACTATTGGAATAAAGCTTTACTCAGATTAGTGCTTTTAGATCTCTATGCCTATGAGCTAATCTCTTTTATTTCTTCATCACCTCTTAATATTTTCAGCCATAAGCTGTCGGGCTCTCAGATATGCTTTTATCTGCCTTATCATCTTAAGTGGTAATTGTATGTTTTCATTAATTTTTACTGGTAATTATTTCCCCAGATTTAGCAAGACACAATGTCTGAGAGTGAAGGAAGTTACCACTCAGACTCGGAGGCTGAGAAGTCTGGACCAGGAAGCGACAGCGAGGTAGGAAGGCTGGTTGTGCATTCTGTATTTCTTTAAAGTTTGTAATATGAAACTGGTTGCTTATGAGACTGACTAATGAAGTCAAAATTCATCACTATTTAAAGGCATATTTTTTATATAGGGTGAAAATCGCCGAAGTCGAAGTCGTAGTGGCACTCGTGAGCGTTCGCCCAGCAGAAGCAGGAGTCGTAGTGCAAGTGGCAGTCGGAGCCGAAGTCGCAGCAGATCTGGCAGTCGGAGCCGAAGTCGCAGTAATAGTCGTAGCAGAAGCAGAAGCAGGAGTCGTAGTAGAAGCAGAAGCCAAAGCAGGAGTAGAAGCAGAAGTAGAAGTAAAAGCAGAAGCCGAAGTAGAAGTCGGTCTGTAAGATCAGATGAAGCAATGGAAGCTCGAAGTGGGGAGGAGGAGATAAGTGGCGATGAAGAACCAGCGGATGGTGAAGATCTTGCAAATTCAGTGAGTAATATTGCTATTTTAGGGAGTACAATACATTCCTAATTCATTGAATATATACATACAGTACTGTATTATATTTTTAGGCAATACATATCGGATATGCATGGGGATAATGTGAATACTGTACATCAGTTAGTGTAAATTTATTTTGGGTATTGATAGTAGAGTATATATTGTATTAGTTACTGAGAGTTATTTATATTTTGAATATAAATATGGCATGACTTACAAAAACATGATTTTAAAACATCGACTTGAGAAAACTTCACTTTTAAAACTTCAAAAACATCGACTTGAGAATGGTCCAGGACGGACCGAAACGTCGTCGTCCCTTCAATTTCTAGTGTGTGATCTGGTCAACATGATTTTAAAATACTTTTTATCTTAAAGTGTTTCTTCCTAATTATCTAAAGTTTTTAGGTATTGCTGCCATCACATATATGAAAATTGTTATGACCTAAGCACACTTAAAAATCTCAAAAACAAATAATTTATTTGTGAAATTTTTTTCTTTAGTTTTCTACATTTGTTCTTAGTTTTTTTATCATTAAATTGTTTGTTTTGTACTTGTCATTTTTCATTAGTCATCTTTTATTCCCTGTAGGAATATGATAGTGAAGAAGATGAAGATGATGAGCGGCATGCAAAAAAGAAGAGAAAGAGAGGGGCTGTGTCAGATTACTTCTTGGAGGAGGCTGAAGTAGATGACGATGAAGGTGAAGATGATGAAGATGAAGATGTGAGTTTTCTTGAAGTTGCCTTAATTTTAGCATATGTTTTAACATTTATGTGTATAGTACAGTAGTTTGGTTTGTTTGACTATAATAATGACTTTATTACCTCCCAGCTTTTTATAACGAGAGAAATCTTAAGAGTATTATTAATCTTTGTTTAAAAAAAGTATAAAATAATTATCTGTTTTAGCAGTTGGTTTATTATTTGAGTAGAAATTCTTACATGGTTTATATATTTTGCAGGGTGATTACTATGATCTCTTAGGTAATGAGAAAGAGGAAGTTGGTGTGACTGCTCGTGAGATTGAAGCCAATCGGAGAGCACACAGTGTTTGGGAGTAAGTTAATTTCTTTTTTAAAGAGTAAGGAATTACTTAGTAGGTAGTTGAAATTATGCATATTGGTGTGAAGGGAGAGTTAATACAACAAAGTGACTTGCCATAGATGAACTGATTAAAGAACTTGACATTGTTGCTAAAGATTTAGTATACAACTTGTCGTAATTACCCTCAGTTAAGGATTTTGACTCTTTTTGCAAAACATTTGACCATGTGTCTCCTATCTAAAGCACATGTAGTTTCTTTATACATTAAATTCATTATATGCTAATGAAGTTTACTCAAATATTTTTGTTTTTAGCAAAACGGGTTTTAGTTCAGTATTAACCTAAAAACTTTACTTAATATTATGCACGTATATATATGGCAGGGATGTAGTAAGGATTTCATAAGATTATTGTTATTCTTTTATGTTTTAGTACTTAATTATAACACTACATTGTAATAAAGGCAGCTAACATTTTCCATGGGATTGATAAAGTGGCAAAAAGCCATTGCCATGAGAACGACCTAGAATTTTAGGGTACAGTATTGTTCATTCTTGATTACGTGTCTGGATGTATTTGCCTGATCTTTGCCCAGATATTAATACTGTAATTTTTTGTTGCCAAACACCATATTGATCCAGCTCATGGATCATAGTGTCATATCAGTGTTTAAAGCTGTGTTAAGTTGCCTTCTTTGGGCACACGAAGGTAAAATTCTTCCAGAATGTAGAGGGTACAGATTGACTCATTAACCTGGCACTTCCTGAATTCTGAAAAATTTATATCAGGCATGCCATTAACAACATCAGAAAAATGTAGTATGTCAATGACAGATTTTACAGATTGTTATTCTGTAAACATTTCTAGTTATAAAGTAACAAGTAAATTAACTCTTACTATTTGCATGTTCCAGCAATGAACGCGAAGAAGAAATCGAAGAATATTATCGGCGCAAGTATGCTGAAGAATCTTCAGCTGCTATGCGCTTTGGGGAGGGAGGAGAAGAGATGAGTGATGAAATCACCCAGCAGACTCTGCTTCCTGGTGTTAAGTAAGTCTTGTTCTCCTTTGTTTCATTCATACATTATATTAGAGTATTCATTGTATATTTCTAGTGATACTTTATATCTTTGATTATTTTATCTTAAATGTGCCTTTTTAAGAAGATCCCATAACTTAGACTATTCTTTAATCTTCATTATTACATTGGCAGTTTTGTATTCAGTGGTAATTTTTTGTTAATCTTATTAACTACTGTACCATGTTATAGCAGTATTTTTTAAGTATCTAAGAGTACCACATCTTCTCACTGAGGGATATTGATTTTTACCTATTAAACTGAGTCACGTTCCAGGGACCCTAACTTGTGGATGGTGAAGTGTCGCATTGGTGAAGAGAAATTGACTTGCCTGCAACTTATGCGCAAGATGATTGCATATCAGTTTACTGAAGAACCTCTGCAGATTAAGTCTGTTGTAGCACCAGAAGGTGTTAAAGGCTATATTTACATTGAGGCTTACAAGCAGTCTCATGTCAAGTCGGCCATGGATGGTGTTTCAAACCTCAGGCTCGGTATTTGGAGACAGACTGTGAGTGTTGAAATATTTTTATTTGAACTACATTTTGATGTTCCTGTAACTTTTAATAATCATTTGCAATTTTAAACTTTTCCATGTAAAAAATATTAAATGAATGCTTATTTCTCACAAAAGATCTAATTCTCACAGATGGTACCAATTAATCAAATGACTGATGTTCTGCGTGTGGTTAAAGAAGTTCCGACGCTGAAGCGTGGTGCTTGGGTCAGATTGAAGAGAGGTAACGGGTAGTGAATTGTGTTTTCTTCTTTAAATTGTAGTGTTAAGTATTAAACATAGTATGCCGTTTGCGTGTTCTTTCAAGTGAAGCCTATAGATTTCATGACGGTATCAGATCAAGGTCTCAGTAGTCTAATAGAAAAGTTCTGAAGTATATTAAATTTCATGTGAACAAATAAACAATCATGTTCCTTATTCGTAACGAAATAATAGTGACTTGACAATAAACTGTAGTGTGTATTCTGTACATCAGAATTTAAACTGTAACTTTATATATGTATTTAGTCAAGTACTTTAACTTGACTCTATACAGGGACATTTATCTCTTAATTCATTAATGAAATCATGCATTGAATATTACCAGACTCATATTCAAGTAAAAGAAATAAATATTATTTTCAACCACTCCTCCTCCAGATGATAGTATAGTACCTTCATCTAACGTGACGAGATGTACAAAATATGGACAGTTGCAATTCAAAATTATTTGTGAAACTGACAGCCTAACTATAAACCTAATCTGTTTTATCCTAAGCCTAAATAAGACCCAATATATGCAATCTTAGACCTAGTAAGATACACTTACCTAGTAAGTGTATCTCATTAGGCCTAGAAATTGTTGGGTTTGGATATTGCTTTCTTTATTGGGCCCTCTACAAAATTATAAGTACAAAAGACTTTGAGTGCAACAGTTCAACTTTTATACATTCTATTATAGCTGTAAGGACTATAATTGTTCATAGAACAGTTTGGCATTTTCATAGCTACCTATGCATACTTTTTTGAATATGTGCTAAGGTTTAATTTCTCTGTGTTGATGGAACAGGCTTCAATTAAATTGCATTATTGTCTTACCTAGTGTTTAATTCGCATGACTTTCAACATTTGCAGGTATCTTCAAGGATGATCTTGCACAGGTGGATTATGTGGATGCCTCGCAAAATACTGTTCACCTTAAGCTTATCCCCCGTATTGACTACACCCGCATGCGTGGAGCTCTTAGGTAACAAGGGGTATTTGATAATTTTACCAAATTAGGCTATTACTGAATATTTTTAAAATCATAAGCAGTTTAGTGTTTGATTTTGGTATTATATTTTGTTCAAGATTGTAGCATTCTATATTGATCAATATACATCAAGAGGATTTATACAACGCAGTTGCATTGGTACAGAACAAATCCCTCTTTGTTACTTTATTACTGTGTAGATTAATTAAATTTCATTTTATCCTGCAGAACATGATAGCAAAAAAAAAAAAATAAGTATGGTATCTTAAAATATTCTTTATTATCCAGATCAAGTCAGTCTGAGAATGATCTCAAGAGAAAGAAGTTCCGGCGGCCAGCACAAAAGCTGTTTGATAATGATGCTATTCGTGCCATTGGTGGTGAGGTTACTCAAGATGGTGATTTCCTTATATTTGAAGGAAACCGTTTTACACACAAGGGTTATCTATACAAGACATTTGCCATCTCTGCAATAATGGCTGATGGTGTAAAGCCAACTTTAAGTGAACTGGAAAAGTTTGAAGAGCAGAGCTTGGCAGACATGGAGGTACGTATATCATTTGGAGTTATAAAGACTTCCCATATAAATATTTCATTAATGAGATATTTTGTTGTTATACACATACTGTATATGGAAAACATGATTTATGGCATTTCAAGTACAATATTGCACATTTAGTGCATATGGTCATGCAGGTATATTTAAAATTGTCGTATTTGTTTTTAGCTGACAACAACTGGTCGTGAAGATGAAGGCCATAACTTTGCCCCAGGTGACAATGTTGAGGTAATCGAAGGTGAATTGATGAATTTGATGGGTTGTGTGACACGCGTGGATGGGAACAGAATCGCAATTTTGCCAAAGCACGAAGACTTGAAGGATGAGCTGGAGTTCTTATCGCATGAATTGAAGAAATATTTCAACCAAGGTGATCATGTAAAAGTCATAGCAGGAAGATACGAAGGCGACACCGGGCTCATTGTTCGAGTGGAAGAAAACATGATCGTTCTCTTCTCCGATCTGACTATGCATGAACTGAAGGTATGTGACTTTATATATACTGAGTCCACTTATGAAATTGATTAAAATGCTTATTGTTTTTTTATATACTGTGTATATAAATGACACTAATTTCATATACATTTTCATTATTTAATATCTGAATTAATGAGTTTCTTGCCATCTTTATTTGCAGGTGTTGCCTCGTGACCTACAGCTTTGTGCTGATGTAGCTACTGGTGTAGACTCTCTTGGGCAGTTCCAATGGGGAGACTTGGTGTCTCTGGAGTAAGTATAATAATAATGCTTTTTAGCACTGCAATACCATTAATCCTCTTGATATGGCACTTCAGCATTGTCTAGTACCTCTTGTGGGTTGATGTTTCGCTAAAAGATTGTCTATTTTTAATTTTAATACATTTAATTAAGAAAAAGACCTTTTACTTTATATGCAGTTGAATAATATTGAGTCCAGTTGGAAATTTGGTCTGAGTAACTCAATACCAGGCCATAAGCATTTCCAAAGACATAAAATATAATAAATACAGCTATTAGACATATTTTTTTCAATATTGAAAAATATAAAAATTATTTATTATTTTTTATTACAGTATTATAAATATAAAAACGGGTAAATAATTCTAGACCTCGTGTGATTCAAATGCATAGGTTATTATTATAAATATAATCAATAAGTATAGTCATAAAATTCGGCTATAAATGAATTGTCAATTTTTTCCTAAACTGATTGTGTTGTTTTATCATTACCATTAATCATTACAGTTTCATAAGGGTGACTGAGATTGTAAAATGAGACAGCATTTACTCACAATTTCAATAGAATAATTATTACACCATGGATATAAATAAATTCAAACATACAGTACCTTAATTATGTAGAAAAGGAAAATTGAAGTTGGTGTAAGGTAACCTACACCGCTTGTGTAACTTTGTTGGCGGAGGAAAATATTCTGGTAGAATTAAAGCTACATCGTGGGGTGACGTTTTCTTCCATCACCATCAGATGGTAGCACTTATATGATGCAAATTTCTCTTCTGAATGACCAGTTGTCTGATAGAACGTTACATACTTTAGAAAACTATTTTTCAAGTCACCAGGTATAAATCCAATTATCACAGAGTTCTTTTTACTTAATGTAATGTTTGATCACTTTAAGTAAATTTACTTAAAGTGATCAAACATTGTTACATTTAAGTGCTTACCCCTTGCATTTAGTTTTTCTGTATATGATATAACATTTTATGGATCAAATCATTACTTATACTATAGTGTGTTGAGTTTCTTACAGTAGATTTTTCTAGTTTTTAATTCTCAGTTTATAGCGCATAATGAAAGTTAAAATGAGAACCCACATTATAAAAATGATTCTCATTGCATGTGTAGTCATTTAGCATCCTGTACTCCTTGTTTCACTGCATTAATTATTGATTAACTGTCTCTGGGTTCCTTCAATTAAAACAAAATCAATTGTTTGCAGTGCACAGACAGTTGCAGTTATTGTAAGATTGGAGAAGGAAAATTTCCAGGTCTTGAACATGCATGGCAAGCTGGTCCATGTCAAACCTCAAGCGGTTCACAAGAAGAAGGAGAACCGCCGAGCCATGGCACTTGACTCTGAGAAAAATACTATCCAAGTGAAGGATATTGTGAAAGTGATTGATGGTCCACACTCGGTAAGGCAAATGTGGGAATTTTATAGCATTATATTTTTTGGGTTCCCCTTTCAATTTAAATATTGCAACAGCCTTATTTTCTTCATTTTTTAAAGTAAGAGAGTGAGGGAAGAGGTGGATTTAACACGCCATTATAATTAAGTATTCTCCAAAAGAATATTTGTATAATTTTTACATGACATTATTTATTTAAAAAAAAAATTGTGTTCACACACTATTTGGATATTGTCTGTGTATCAGCTTGAAACATAGATTTGTGTCTTATTAATAGTGAAGTGGAGTTAGGTTTAGCTCTTTATTAACTACTTCTATCTTTTTGTACCTTGTGCATTTTTGAATCTCTTGATGGTCAAATTGTGTGTTGTATTTGGTTTGAAGTTTTGGACGGCTTTGCATCCAAAACTTCATTCATTGCATTCCACTTGATGATCACCTTGTACTAAGTGTGAGTGCGTTACTTCATTATGTTCCTTCAACTCTTTCAATTCCAAGTTTGACCTATATTTTCTTATTCTATTTTCTCAGTTTGAAGAGGTTTTCCTCGTTTCACCTTGTCTATTCCCTTCAGTATCTTGTATATTGTGATCATATCGCCTGTGCTTCTTCTCTCCTCTAGGATTGTTTAATTGATTTTTATTAATATTGAAATTCTCGTAGCCTGTTCGGGTGGTAGGTAAGTGAATCGTGCTGTAGGATGAGGTTGTTGGTGAGCTAATTACTTCTCTCAACATCAAGAATAATATGATGAAAACTTCAATGCTGAGAGAGGTAATTAGCACACAAGGTATAAATACCTAGGAGGCGAGGCATGAAGAGCTAGATCTCACTCTCTCGTAGGTACTAATAGGTAAGCTCTCCTGGGATTTAACTACATCCAGTTGTTTATGTATTGTATAGGTATAAAAACAAGTTTTATTGAAGGTTGAATATTATGCTTTGTTTCTCATGGCTCAAACTGTAGTTGGTAACTCTGTGATTTTTAAGGATCTAAATAAATAAATTTATTCTTGTGTACGAGTTTATTGAATGACTGAGACAGTTGCAGTGTCACAATCTTGAGGAGCTAACTAATTGCTCAAAGACTAATTATGAAATATCTGTCACATAATAGACTATTTTTAATATAGAAAACTACTTGAAAATTTTAGGCAAGGGAGATGTGGAGAAGCAGGTGACCAACACAGACTTTAGTTAAGAAGGAACTGAGTATGTGTGTTTTATTTTATTCATTTATATAACAGATGTATTCTATAAAAGAAAATGTTAATTATAAAAGTATGCATAGAATTTGTTGTAATTCTTATCTATTTAATAGGGTCGGCAGGGTGAAATAAAGCATTTGTATCGAAACTTTGCATTCCTGCACTCCAAAATGATGATAGAAAATGGTGGAGTGTTTGTATGTAAGACAAGACATTTGGCCCAGGCTGGAGGAGCTAAGGTAAGGTGAATGTATTATTTCTATTACCCTTCCACTCATTATATTGTAATTCAAATTAATTAAAAATTACTTGTACAGTACAGTATTTGGATACCAACCATTACTTCTAAAGCATATTGCTTATGCAAGGAAAGATAAGGCATTATTTTCCTTTTCTTTATGCATTTCCTTTTTTCATGGTCTACTACTCTGCTCAATATACTTGAATGAAAATTATAGATAATGAGGAGATAAGGTGGAAAGACTGAAGTTCTTTTGGGAAGAAGTAAAGGAGTTCATCTGGGGATAGGGGGGTGGGGGTGGAGAGATTCCAAGTAGGTGGAAAATATACTTTGAAAGTCTAATGTGTGGAAATAATGAGGTTTGCTTTTGTGAACATTATTTGAATTGATGTAAAAACAATACTGAATCAGGAGTGTTGGAATAAGTTTTTCCAGACTTACGGAACTTATAGCATATCAATCTCATTGTATCAACCCAATCTCATTCTTTAAGTTACTTCCCCAAGCTGCACCATCTCTCCAAAAAAAAAAAAGCTATTTTAACACATGATACATATGTTAATCATTATCACCACCTTTGCTTCTTGAAAATTAAGTTGCAAAGATTTCCATACACACTGAACTGCAAAAGCTAATTAAATGCCTATTTATTTCTCTACAGTCAATTGGAGGTGGAGGAGGAATTGGTGGTATGGGGATGGGTCTAATGTCACCATGGCTCTCATCCCCGGCCCATCCAGCTGGTGGAGCAAGTGAACGTGGTGAAGGTGGTGGCGGAGGAGGTGGTGGAGGAGGGTTTGGTGAACGCGGTAGAGGAAGAGGAAGAGGCAGAGGAGCAGGCAGGGATCGTGGTGTTATTGGGCAGACTATCAAGATTACTCAAGGACCATACAAGGGTATGTCAATTCAGTCTGCTGAAATAAGCTTAGGATTAAATATTGAATTTAGTGTAGGTTCATTAACTTTTGTATGAAGTAAGGAAATGTTTGCACTTGAAAATAAAAGTTACCGAGTTATGATCAGTAAGGTCTGAGACTTTATTGTAAGAGCACATAAGTTGCAAAAGTTAAATGCATGCTCAGTGCTCCATCAACACTATCTAATGCTGTGCTGTAGGTACAACCTGTCCCCTCAAAAAATGTGTGTGTCTTTTGATGCTATAATCTCCAATGGGCAAAATATGGGGTACTATGAAGAGTAGTAGTTCACAACCATGTTTTCTGTGTGTGTGTGCCGGTTAGGATAGGTTGGTAGGTTTTTAATTGGCCCGTCCTCCTATGGTTTCCCAATGTCAAGAAAATGGTAAATTTAAAGGGTCCTCTCCTAACCAACCAGAGGACCCAAAACAGAAAACAGGACAGTATGTCACATTCGCGAGCCACTTCCATTTTCTAATACGACAATTTTTGGCCTTGTGTAATGCATGCCAGCAGAATGCGACATTCTTTGTAGAAGGACAGGTTGTTTTAGTCGACACACCGCCCTCTAGTCGACACACCGTCCTCTACATTCCATACTGAAAGGTACAAAGCAAAAGAATTTTTATTCGTGCAGGCAAATTAAACTTTAAATAATTTATATATGGCATTTGTATTCCAGGCCATGTTGGTATTGTTAAAGATGCCACAGACTCGACAGTCCGTGTTGAACTACACTCGAAGTGCCAGACCATTATTGTGGATCGCTCTCGTGTGGCAGTTGTGGGGTCCACCAGTGCCAAACCTGGTTCCTTCACCTCTTACAATCGTACCCCAACTTGGGGCTCTGGTACTCCAATGTATGGCAATACTGGCTCACGAACACCTATGTATGGTTCAACGACTCCTCAGTACGATGGTTCACGCACTCCGCATTATGGCAACGTGACTCCTTCACAAGATGGTTCTGCTACGCCTGGCAGGTTAGCCTACTCGTTGAATGTTTGTTTCCTATTTATCATTTGTATTTTGTACATGGAATTCATTGTCATATCATTGGTTTTAAACTTTGATAAATGTATATTTAAATTTTTCAGTGTAAAAATGTTGTAAAATATTGAGAGCGCCAACATAAATACATATTTGTGATTATTATTTATGTACTGGAGCTGAAAATTACAAGAGTTGAATTGATTTGTCTAAGAGATTTGCAAGATTGCATGTAATTTTGTCTCCAGTAAAACATTTGGTATAATGTTTAGTAATGTTATCTAGTTGACAGTCCAGAGGCCATCAAATCACTTGGATGGAAATTGTCAGGTTGATATTTGGCCTGCCTTAAGATCACTGTTGTATCCACAAATCCATCATAATGTAAAATACCAGACATTTTATGAATATCCAGACTTTTGAGAAGATTAAGTGTCCTATCTCTTGGTGTTTATGACTAATTCTAACCAATTTAGCTTCTGCAGAATGAATAGTAGGCAGGTTTCTGAGGAATAAAGTTATAACATCAGAATGTGTGTTAGGCAACATTCATTACATTTTCTTGTGGAAGCTTAAACAAAATTCTACCACATATTGGTGATAAGTTGGATGGGACAATTTAAATGTTTACTCCTGTTCTTTATCCTAATTAGGCAATCGGCATGGGACCCCACTATAACCAATACGCCGGCAAGACATTCTGAGTTTGATAACTACTCCTTTAATGAGGCATCACCTTCACCTGCTTATAATCCTGGTAAATAAACTGTGCTTCAGTTTTTGCAAGTACTTTACAATAATTTACAATTTAGTATTTTATAGTGGTGAAATATGCAGTGTGTTAAGATACTAGATGTAATTATATTGAAGAATACTGTATTATTGTGTTGTAGTTAAACAAATAGTTTTTAAACAACTTAAGAATAGTATGACAAATGGATATCATAAATTTATGTTTTACCATTTATTAGGGACTCCAGGTTACCAGTCAGATGCTGGGCAGGGCCCATACACACCACAGACCCCTGGGACAGCGTACAGCTCAGACCACAACTACAGCCCATACCAACCTGAACCCTCACCTTCTGGTTACCAGCGTGAGTTGCTTAACTCTACTGTAATTAATACATTTTATTTTAGTACCATTATTGCTAAATTTAAAATGGTATCTATTAGAATTTAGACACCCAATTGCTTTCGCTCATTTAGGGGTAGCAAACTGGTGTCTTAAGTCCCATTGAAAACAAGTTGTGTATTGAAGTGGCAGCCAGGAACCATAGTTTAGGGCTGAGTATTTAATAAATGTAATCAAATGTAAAAGCTAATTCCTTGTAAAATGACAATCGTGAACATGATTAGCTGTGATTTCTTGATCTGATGGTGCTTATGATTTTGGCAGCTTTGAAATCTGCACAATACTTTGGGTAGGCATTATAGTAGTAGTGTCAAATATTTTCCAATGAATATACAGTGTATGATATATGTAGAATTGTACATTTTTTTTTTTTTTGTTATAAACATTATGAAGAGGTTATTTACAATTGGCTATTTAGTGAGTGCTTACTCATGCTTGTATTCAAGATGGTATATAACAAGGAATAAGGTGGTGTGGCAGCAGTTTGTAAAGAAAGCACTAATGAATTTTCCTGAACTGTATGGCAGCTCATGAGGAGCACAGTGTACCTGGCTTCATGAAGTGGTGGCATCATTCTGCTGTGTCTAATTGATAGAGGCTGGTGGCACCTGATTGATGGAATATTGTGGTATCTAATTGATGTAGTATGGTGCATCTTTGATTGATGGAGTATGGTGAGAAGCCTATTTATACTCTGTGGTATACAGTATAGTGTTGCCGATACAATGAATGGACGCATGCAGTTTTATATTAAATATGTGGGACCTTTCTCTATTGAGTTACTCAATAGAGTAACTCAGTAGCTATATATATATTCTCAAGGCTCATGCCTCTCCCATCAATGAAAGTGTGATATGGGGGGTAATGATGATAATTTAAGTATTACATAGATGTTGTCTGATTTTATTTAACTAGGAAGATACTTTATAGTGTTTTGAACTTAAAATAAAAATTTAAATAACATTGGATTTCGTTATTGTATAATGTGATTGAATAATTTGTGCCCATATTAGGAGTTTTGGCCTAATTATCATCTTGTCAGTGATACTTTTGCATAATTACTTTTATAAATATCCGTATAGTGCATTATAATTATTTGATGTGCAACACTCCTGTTATTGATTGTGGTATCAATATTACACATACAGTATTTCATTCATATTCCCAGTAATAAACTAGTTTGTGGAAAACAAAGTTGCAAGAGTTGAGTAGAACACAAATTGAAAGTAATGTTGGGCTGAGTGATTGAAGTTGAAGCTGGAAAATACAAAGATAATTATGTACAGTATCTTAGGCCATTGAATAAAATATAAAAAAAGGGGTGACCAGTGAAGGTTATTTTACAGAATTATAATTATCTGATATATTAATACGACATTGGTGTACATTGTCTCGTCTTGTGTTCCCAGCTGGTAGCAGCCCTGCTGCGTACGTAGGTACCCCAAGCCCTGGCACAGGATACCAAGGTTCTCCATCGCCAGGCTCTGGGTATGCCTCGCCCTCGCCTCTAGCCTCGTACAGCCCCATGACACCAGGGGCACCTTCACCATATAATCCTCAGACGCCAGGTGCAGGTATGTTGTGTTGCCTGGTCCATCATTTACCTTCAAAATCTGATGGTTTGAAGTGATGTTCTTATCAGCAATTGCTTGCTCAGTATTTTCACTAAATATTTTCTTATATAATCTCATATTTCATGAGAATTAAAAAATTTATTATTCCAGATTTTTTAACCCCAACATGCTGTCATCGCCATTTACTGATTTGTTATTATTGTTTGGCTTTCAAACAATAAGGCCCCTAGGACACAATAACCTCATTCACATATAAGCAATTACAAAATGATTGCAGAATTTTTCATTAGTTTTGGTTAACTTCATTCACATGGAGCTATATATAACCTTACTAACATCATTGCTATACAAATCGGGCAATAATAATGATCATCAAATGTCGATACCTTCAGTAGACCAGATCAACAAATGATTACTACTGCTCAGTGAGGATTCAACACTACTTCTTGTATATTTGTTACTTGTTTTGTGCATTACAGTACTTTATATAATTGATGTTCAGAATGACCCAATATGCTGCTGAATTTCATTCGTTGCTCTTTGACCAGGTATAGACGAGTCAGAAATGCAAGATTGGCATACAACAGATATTGAAGTAAGAATCAAGGAGACTCATGATGATTCGGGACTCATTGGTCAGACTGGTATCATCCGCAGTTTATCCGTAAGAAATATTTGCTTTTGTATTTATTTTTTGTACTTTTCCTTATTGAAAAAGTAGAGGATAATAACAATCATAGTATTTTCTACTATTATTACCAGTATTGCCATATATGTGGCTTTAAGTACTTATCCAGAAAGTATTAAGGTGCATTTATACCTCCAAACTTTCCAGAATTCTTTTTAATGCTTGTGCTTGAAGCTATAAAGGATGGCTGTTTCTAATGCCTCTAGTTTAAGCTCATTCCAGTTGTTTTATCACTCTCACTGCATAAACATAATTCCTTACATTTCTCTGTCTCGTGTATGTTTCCAATTTCTACCTGTGCTGTGGTAAACAGGTGGAATGAGTCAGTGGTGGTGGAAGCAACCATAATTCACAGCTTTAAAAGCAAATATGATAGTGTACTGGGAAGTATTGAGGTGTATAAATGCCCCGAGCTGTTCTTTGCTATTGTAGACACAACTATCTGTGCACATACATCCCATAACTACATTTAGATAATTATTTGCATGTACACTTCAGAGAAACAAGCAAAAAAAAAAAAAACACAGGCATACATTAATACGTATTGTTCTTCACATTTTAAAGTGAGAAGATTGATATTCTCTGAAGTGCATAAGGAATAATAATGTTCACCATCCTGCTTCATATATATCATAGGTTTCATGGTAATTGAGTATACAGTATTTCATACTTGCAGTTTTACTAATGTCACTCGGGAGAAAAAAAAGAGTATGATAAAGTCTACAGTGAATGTTAGACTTTCATCACTAATCATACTAATTGTTGTACAACAGGGTGGCATGTGTTCTGTGTTCTTGCCAGAAGAAGAACGTGTTGTCAATTTCTTGGGCGAGCACCTGGAGCCTATCACACCAGCACAAGGAGATCGTGTTAAAGTGAGTTTTATTGGGTTACAATTTGCATGTATATGCCATATTTATTAAGTGTATAAATACTGAGCACTGTTGAACTTGAGAATTGGTTTGACGTTAATATCTTGATTCTTTTTTTCACATAGGCTTGATGTTTAGGAGGCTCAACTTTGATGGTTTAACATTCTACTTAGTTTTGTTTTAGAATGATTGCAATATAATCAATGTTCTTTATATATGTCATTTATATGTTCTTTAACTTCCCAAAGTATTTTATGTTCTATCTGCGACCATATAATTGTAGGAACAAATATTAGTGCTGTGCTGGAGTTAAGTACTGGGATAGTATACTATTCACACCCCCTGATATTTGGGAGTGAAACTGTGGTATGAAAAGAGGCAGAGTGAACTAGAGTACGAGCACTTAAAAAATTTTTCTTATATCATCTGGTATGTGGGATGGGTATGCACTGAGGGAGTAGATACCATGTGGTATGAGTGAAAGAGATGAGGGGAGGAAAGATGGAGTGGATGTACTAGGAAACACTTAGCTAGTATAGACAAGTTAATAGGACATCTGAGAATCACTTAATGAGAAGGCTACATAAGAGTGAAACAAAGGGGATCATATGATGGAGGATTACTTAATTTGTCTTCCACTCGGTCCATAGGAGTCTCGAACCACAAACCACCAAGCTATTGAGCACACATCAATAAGAGAGGATGTTAAAGATATGCAACGTTGAGACTTCAGGCCTTCCCTGGGGTGCCACTTGAGTGTGGAGGTATTAGGTGATCCTCACTCCAGTCATATAAATTGCTAACCCACAATAAACATAGATGATAATACTTGATTCACTTGGACCGTACGAGCCTTGAATCACCGAGCAGACCGCTCTGGTGGTCTGTGGGTCAAGGCTCCTAATGCCCAAATGGATGTATTGTTATCCATTACATGTTATGGAATGTTTATTGTGGTTAGCAATTTATGATGACGAATATCTTAGAAAAGGTGAATGAAACAAAATGGGTGTAAAGGTTGCAGAGCTTGAAAGGCTGCTGTGGTCATCTCTTAATGAGGAGCTTCCAGGAGGGTGTAAAGATGTCTGGGCTGTAGATAGATTCAGTTTTACTACTGTGTATCATGTGGTCTCTGAGTGCTGGAGATCACTTTCATCAGGAATCATCCTTCAATTAAACTGGCACAAACATTTGCAGGTAATCCTTGGGGATGAGCGTGAGATGACAGGCGTCCTTCTTTCCATAGACCACAATGAAGGTGTAGTACAACTTGACCGTGCAGATGTAAAGATGTTGCAACTCTGTTACCTGTGCAAAATGAAGTAACGGGTGCAAATAATGGTAATTATTGTATTATCAGTTTTTCCTATCATGCTTGTATATTTGAGCTGCTCTTAAGGAAACAATACACTGCAGGTGTTAAACTAGTATGTTAAAATACAGGGAAGCAAAAACTTGTACAGTATAATCTTAACGTGAAAATAAGTATAGCAAGACCAAGTCTTTCAGTGTTGTGTTTTATTTTGATTACAGTTATTTTTGTAAATCTTGTAATGTTTTTTGACCTGATTTATTTATACTCTTACTGAGAGTCTTTAGAATTGAAGTAATTGTATAAAATGCAAAAGCTGAAATAATATTTGAGAGTTACAGGTACAAAGACAAACTATAGCCAATAAATACAATATATTGTAAACATATGTAAATACAATATCTTGTTTGGGGAAGTGGAGGGTAGATCTAATCAGTTGGAAGTTTTCTTTATCAGCCACAGGATGAATGTGTGTTTGAAACCTCAGAAGATTCTAACAAAAGTAAAATTTCATTACAGTTTTCACATTACTTTGATTAGCCTTCCTCTGTCTTCATTTTGTTATGCAGATTAGTCTTATACTTGTATATTTCAGTACTTGTCAGAGAATCTGCATAGAAAATGTGACACTGGTAGGATAATTATACTGGTCCTGAATTAACCTTAAACTACTAGTAAAACCTCCTGTTCCTGACTATGGCTCACTGTCTCGCTTCTTTTTCCCCCCCCCCCATTTTTTTTCTTCTTCTTCTTCTTTTTACTATTCAAATTCCAGCATTTTTGTATTATGCAGTGGTACCTCAGTTTCCGAATTTAATTCGTTCCCAGAGATGATTCGAAAACCGAAACAAATTTTCCCATAAGAAATAATGTAAATTGAATTATGCAGGCGATGAGTCACAATAACGTGGCTGAAGTATGTTGATCAGACCACACACTAATTGAATTAATCTGTTCCACACCCCCAAATATATGAACTAAAAAATGCATTTTATACAGAATAATACTCTTAGGTACCCTTATTGAGGACTGTTGTTGGCATTTGGAAGACAGTGAGGAAGGAGGGGAGGAGGAGAGGTGTTAGTGTTTGGAAGGGAAGTCCCCTTCCATTATAACAGCAGCGATGACATTTCTGGGGTATTCTCTCTTAAGTTTTCCAGGCATACCTATAGGACCTGGTTGTGGCTCACCTCTTGCTTGTCTTACTAAAAATCTGTGTATAGACACTTGTTTTTCCCTATGTTTTAACTCTTATCTGTAGTGAGACATCACATTGTCTCACTATGAATGATCTCTTGTTTTTCCTCTATCATCGTCATCACAACCATTTTCTTAGGTTGAACTTAAACACTGACTTTCTTGGAACCCCTGGCATGATATATAACAAACTTTTATGTTAAAAAAGGCACAAAAACAACAAAATTCTTCACAAAGAATTCAAGCGCGATCATCACTAGGCGGGGAGACACTGGTAAACTGAAGCACGTCATGTGCTTGGTTGGCCTATACGTGTATCAACAAACTTGAACACCGAGGCAAACTTTGAGTACCGAGTCAAATTTTTCGAAGAAATTGAACTCGAGAACCGAAAAATACAAAAACGGGAGCATTCGAAAACCAAGGTTCCGCTGTATATGCATTTATGTCTGTTAATCATATTCCAGTCTCGGTTAATTGAGACAAAACAAAGGGAAACCATGTCCCAAAAAACTCATATTTAAGTACTGTACACCAGAATATTTTTTACGAAAGGTTGTTAACCATTCGGCTCAAATCATAAGAATTATTTTCTTAATATTTGTAGGAAACTTCCAAGCTACCTACCAACTTAAATTGTTTTAAAATAATCCTCAATGTTTAAGCTTTGTCTTCTTGGCTGCTTGTAATTAAAGATTAGTGTATCAAAATGTATTTTATAATTAATATAAATTATATCTTGATAAACTACCCCTTAATTACAAGCAACCAGTAATTAGATGTACAGATAATACACAAATGCTTATCTGTACTAGCAGCTGCTATGTTACCTTACATGAAGTTGAGTTAATCAATAGGTGTGTGTGTGTGTTCAAATTGGAAACTATGTGATGTGATGGATGGGGCAAGAGAATGTCTGCTTGTACTGTATGTTTATTTGCATATCAAGACGTATAAAATAGAATTATAAAAGAGCTCATTGCAATAAGAGGACTGGGAATAGTTACAGGATGATACTGCTTCTATTAATTCTACAATTGGTAATTTTGCCTAGTGAGTTTGAGCCAAAACCAACATGGGATGTTTGTAAAGCTAGGAGAGGAAGATGTTACTTGTTACCCTAGAGCAGTAAAGGAATTTTCATTGTAATTTATTGTAATGTACAGGATGTCATACGTTCAAAATATATTTGTTTCCCACATCATACTTAGTGCTTTTATCTAAACAAATCATATTTACTTTCTTGCTAAATATTTCATTCACATTAATGTAATATACAGTGTTCATGAACTTCCATTGATTTTTTTTCCATAGCAAATTTTTGTAAAGTAAATACCCTAAAGTTTTACAAAATAGCTTGTAATATATGTTAATGACAATGGTCTATTAACCTTTTAGAAATATATCCCTGTACAAGATGCTCAATGGTACTGATGGATAAAAATTTGTTATGAAAAAAAGTACCCTTTACCATTTTTTTTTTTTATAAATCAATTAAGTGTATTCATTTTACATTTATATTAAAGAGGTAAATAAACTTCATTTTCATACACTTGTTTTAATATACCAATTTGGGTACATAGGTAATATGTTTACCTTCAAGAGTGCAGCTTGTAGTTGGCAACAGGTTAAGTCACCAGTTAGTCATCACAGTAAACAAAACTTTTGAAGGGGTTTATATAATGTATAAAAGCATGTCAATGTATTCAATTTTATTTATAAATAGCATTGTTACTTTCAGTGAATGACTATTGCACTATGCCATTTTCAAGCATATTCGTTATTACTGTGAATTTTATATACGTTTTGTATAGTCCAATTTCACTATATTTTAATACATAACAAGTAATTTTGCTCCAAGTGCATGGACAAGATTGATAAATTTCCTGAGTGTATTTCACTTTCCGAGTTATACACGTTTACTAAGAGCTTGAGGCATACTATAGCCGCCTTAATTGTTTCTCAATAATAGGAATTTGCAATCATTCTGCTTATCATTGATATGCCAGTCAATCCAGTATGTGAAATTCTTCCCCAAATGGTGCCAGAATTCCTTTGTAAGCTCTCTCCATCTATTAACCCTAATGCTCTACTTCCTCCCAGGAGCTTCCCAAAAGGGAGGAACTACAGCAGAAGATTCAGAAGGTGGCACTCTCAACACACAAACCTTTCACTCTTTCAAGCACTTGACCTTGTTTTCACATTTTAATGTTTGAAATACCTGATGAGGATACTCTTAATGAGGTCAGTGACATGAGAAAGATACAGTATGATTAAAATACAGTGTATAGAAGGCATCTTTGTATGTAGAGGAACATAATGACAAATGGAGGAAGTAATTATTTATAATTACTAATAACTAGTTTCCTTATGTTCTCCTATTCTGCCATTTCTGTTGGTTGAAAGGATAAGATTACACATGCTTATCAATCTATGCTGCTATCTACAATGACTAATGTTGCCACCCAAAGGATATTTAATTAAAGTCAAGATCCTTAAGTTAAAAGAACAAACTATTAGTACAACTTGTCCTTGTTACATCCGAGACCTTTGGCTCCTGGGATTCAAAGCTCATCAAAACACTCAACAAGAGATCCAAGAACTGCCATCTACTTTTTCTTGCACTTCAGTGTGGCAGTCTTTTATACATTTTAATAAATTTGACTTGGAGGCCTGATTAAAAAAAAAAAGAGTATATCTGACAAAAAAAGTGTTTGTTTAACTCAATGTGGGATACAATATAATAATTATTATACAGGTATAATAATATATTGTACTACATATACAGTATTTCAAATGTCTTAATAGAGCACAGTTTCTGGTAGTGGTCTAAGTGATACCCTTCTTCCGTGCTTTCGATTCTGCAACATAAGTACAGTACTGTATGTACTGTACTTGTATCCTAGACATAATTTTGCTATTACAGATTCTCTCCCTACACCATCTTCATTTTGTCCATATTAATTGAGCTATGCAGCATCCAAGATCCATAATTGCCAAGGACATGTTAATATTTATCTTTATTTGTAACTATTTGTGTATAATAAACCTTAAAATACAACGACTTGTGTTTATAAATAAATACATGTTCAGTGTAGAAATACTGCTGTAGAAAAACTAATTTCAGGTGCTAAGCATTTTTTGTTTATTTAGAAGTTTAGATACAGCAATGTGCTCCTAATGTCTTCTATATGAAGGATTACAGAGTGTGTAGAAAAACTAGCTATGAGTTCATCTAATATTCGCATATGCTATGAGGAGCTGGGTATTGTTAATAATTGGTTTGGTACTGAGCTTTAGATCTAACAACTGCGGGAGGTTACACTACACTACACAAGATCCATGTGTGGATCTTGTGTAGTGTGGATCTACATTACACAAAACCCTTGTGGATTTGTTCATTTGATGCATCACGCTATTGTGATTTCTGTGTGTAATTTGTTCAACTGCGGGAGGGTTATTAATAGGGGAAAATGCAACTCGAGCTTATACTGATCAACTAGCAAGTACAGTACTGTATATATACTTTAGGGTAAACTCTGTCCTTTTCACTGAGAAGTATTGGATACATTGGTTGATGTATATATGACCATGGTGTTTGTGCTGTTGCATCCACATATAAAGAAACAGTAGTAGGTGGGCAGGGATTGCTTACATAACTTATTTACTTGAATTTACCTGAGGGGTCACAATCTCTCTAGTGATCTCGACAGGGACAGGAAGCTGGCTGCTTGTCAAAGGTCCCTCAATTGTTCCACAGGATATTATACAGGCACTGCACTATTTAAAGAACACAACAAAGTAGCTATCACACCTGCAACCTGATGACAGCTTGGACAAGAACCTTTCAAACAAGAGATACCACACCAATGAGGACACTATAGTAGTGCTCTCTATAGAGAGTGGAATATTGTTGCACACCAACAGTTCTATTCAGAGCTGGAGAAAAGTGCTGAGCTGGAGACCATGCAAAGATATTTGCTGCTAGAATACTTTCAATAAAACATTTATATTATTAAACTGCTTATAAATTTTAAATCTGCATTTCTCAGAGCGGAGGCAAGAGAGAGAGAAAATAATTTACACTTGGAAAATATTAGAAGGACTGGTTACAAATCTGCACACAGAAATAACATCACATGAGACCAGTATATTGCATCTTATGTGCAAAATAGCACTATTGAAAAACAGGTGCAATAGGCACGCTGAGAGAGAGCTGTCAACACCAAAGGCCCCCCCTTTCCCAAGACTTTCCAGCACTATCACTTAACACATACTGGATATAATGGGCCAACCTCTTGCAGGTGTTCAAAACTAGGACATCATACATCCTCAAAGGATACCTAAATAACCAGGCTGTGAGCAGCCGTGAACAGCCTGGTTGATCAAACCAGTAACCAGGAGGCCTGGTCAGAGATTGGACCGTGGGGGACGTTGATCCTCGGAATCATCGACAGGTATGGGCTAAAGGGCTCTACCTAGGTAGGCCTAATACGGTGAAGTAGTACATATGGGTGCTACTGAGCAGGATGAGTGACGCCCATTAACCCTCCTTGGGAGATGGTTGCATGGGAAAACTAGACTTGAGACTAAGAGACAGCCAGGTTCAGAAGGTAAGCTGGGAAGAACGCCAGCTTAACTCCACCCGCATTTTGAAGGGTGGGAGTTAATGATGGATTTAGGGCAAGGCAGAAATGATTGGGCAACGTTTCCTCTCCCCTGATGCTTCTGTTCACCTAGCAAAAGAGGTACACAGAGGTTCGGCGAATGTTACATCTTGGGGAAAGGCGCAGTAGTTGGTGTTGGAGGACCTCGATAAGCCAAGTACAGGCTTCCTGTCCCCCGCCCATAGACAACAGGATTATTATACACATCCGCTGTGGGTGGTGGTGGAAAAGTTATATATAATTACATCAGGTGCATGTATATATATAGGTTCAGAAATGCACCTCGACAGTGTTTCTCTATCAAACAATGAATATTTGTGCTGAAATATATCTGCTGGAAATATATTTGCATTGTATGAAGCTAAGACGATGAGAGAGTGTAGGCCGAGGCTATAAATAACAAATCATTAACACATTCCTTGACTCAAACACAGAGGGGAAGTCAGAAAGTTGCGTCCGTGTTTCATTCGTTTCGTGCACCAAGGTATACTTAGAAAGAGTTTACCCTCCTGGGATGCGTAGTTGCGTATTATACTATTAATCCACCAGTTCCACCACGCAAATTGTATGCTTGTTCAAAGAATACTTTTGAAATTGCATTAATTGTTCTTTGTATGTGTAAAAGGCTTAAAGTATTGTTATAATGAACGTATTTTAACGTAGAATGTAGTAAAGTCGCTTCACTTTAGGTGAGGTGAGTACATAAATAACTGCTCTAAACTTGCCTCATGTTCAAGTTATATCCTGAACTATAGATCAAGTTGCCTTTCCCCGTATTGAACTTAATTATGTCCTTTGTAGAAGAAACCAACCTCATTTGAATCTGTCATATAATTAAACGCCCGTATAAGTAGTTTCGCCTATAGTAGATATATAGTTGCCTGTGCAAGATGACGCCATAGTTTCGTACCTAAATGAACAAAGGCGTGTGGGAATATCGAGCCATGGTGATGACGTCACAGGCGGGAGCTGCGCTACGCCACACCTTCACCAAACACCATAATCTTTTAAAACTAACCAGGCCACTTTTGGCTCAAATATATCACATTTGCAACCCCCATTTTGAACTGTTTTATCAATAATATAATTACGGAAATTGACTGAGGGTAAATGAGAGGCAAGAGCTTATTATAAGATAGATTTTGAGATAGCGTAAAAGTTCCAATACTGAGGTTAAGGCGAGGATTGTAGCCGGCTGGTGGGCTTGCCACGTCAGTCCTTGGTCGTTACTGCTGTCGTTGATATGAACACTGTCGATCCTATGATGATTTCCCGTTCACAACATTAGTGGATATCAGTGGTAAATAACTCAGTTTAGTCATCACTTCTTGCCGCATTAGTAGTGAAAAAAAATATCCCCAAAGAGGTATAAGCTATGAAAAGTGAATGATGCATGATGCCGTAGGCGCTGCTGGCGCTGCGTCCTGGGGGCTCAACCTGCAATCTTTTGATTGTATAGATGTACTGAAACACTGGTATATAGAGTACCGTCCTCTCAAACACGTAAAGGTCCATGCAATATATGGAGTTAGACGGGTACGAGAGCGTAGATAGGCGGGGGGCCGTCCTATATATATTGTCCTTGAACGGGCGCAGACACGTCCGCGTGATTTTAATTTTAACTGCTTTCATCCATTCCTCCCCCCCTTCATGTTGGTTTATCTGTGCCTAGTTGTCTCCAGTAGCATAGTATGGTTAAGGTGGAGTGGGTGGGACGTTATTGATGTGTGTGGGTGAGGCCGGGGGGAAGTATTGACCCGTGGCAGTGTGGGGGGGTAGCCTCTCGCCGGGTCCTGGTGGGGGAGGGCGGCCATGGCCTCTCCTGGCCGCCCATGGCCGCCCTCCTCCACCACTATTGTAGCCAGCGGCCGCCGCCTCACACCACCACACGCCCATGTAGCCACACAGCTTCCTCTTCCACATATCCACATCCCTCAATTTATATATCCCTTCCCCTGGCGGCTGGTCAGACAGGCGGAAACTTATTAAGGAGGACGCGAGTGAACCGATTCCATTTTGGCGATTTGAGGGCGGCGGTCATGAGCCCCGAGGTGCGGGAGTGACCATGACATGACACCACCTCAACATACACATGGACCGACACATGGACCAACACATGGAGTGCAGTTGTGTCATGTGACGTGAAGAGACGGGCTCGGGAGGACGTAATAGTACGTGTGCGAAG